TCGCTCTTCTCCATGCTGGCTCTGACGAGAGCCAGTCCTAGCTGAAGCACAGAGGCAAGAAGACAGGACTGTCCCTATTGCCATTTAAAACCACACACCAACTTCAGCGAGGTTTGGCTCGTTTGTCCACCCGAACTACCCTGACTCAGGCACAACCTTCCCTGTCTCTTTTGGATGCAGGCCAAGACCTAAGCATGCTTTTGCTTTTTCTGATACTTTGGGTTTCCTTACCTTTTCTCCACCCCACACCCCTTCCCACTCATTCTCCTGATAAAGTGATTCTGCAGAGATTTACTGCTTGTCTGCTGTTGAGACAGGTATTTGGCCTCGGCTGGCCTGGAACTGACTATATCAGGCAAGCTTTAAATTCGCCTATGCTTCCTAGTGCTGGGATTAAAGTATCAAGCTCTAGGTGCTTTTCATTTAAACCTAATTAAACTTTCCTATTTGAATAAACATTGGCGTTGCTTGACTTTAAAAGTGAGCAACACAAACACCAACATTAAAAAAAAATCCTTTATTTACAGTTCAAAATTTAAACAAGATCTTGGTTCTGATTTGTGATACTTCCAGGTCCTGGTTCACACATTGTGGAGGCAGAGGTTAGTCCGGCTTGTCAGACTCAAGGAGAAAGTCACCCAGGACAGAAGACCTAAACGGTAGAGACAGGTCAGTGAGAAGACAGGGATAAACAGCACAAAGGAACAGGAAGGGCACCTCTAGCAAACAGATGTGCCCAGATCCTCATCTTTCCCAAACCTTTGGATCCCCAGGAGCACGTGAAGACATGTAGAACACAGGAGCAGTAGCGGATGTGTGACCAGGCACACCTCTAAGATCCTTCACCTCTCCCTGTGCTGTAGTATGTATTAACTTGTGTTCACTTATTGTACGTGTGGGGATGCATGCTATGGCGCTCAGAGGACATCTTGCGGGAGTTGGCTCTCTCAACCACATAGGTCCTGGAAATTCAGCTCAGGTGCTGGACTTAGCAGCAAGTGTTGTTACCTGCTGCACTAGCTCACTAGCCTGTGTATACTATCTCCATGCAAAGAAACAAATAAATTCCAGGAGGCTTAATGACTTGACTAAACCCACAGAATTAACAATGGTGGAGCTTTCTGTCTGGCTCAAGGCTTGTGCCCTCATCAGGTTTTGACAGCTTGCTGTCCACGGACTTCCAGGTTAGCTGTACTGAGAGAAAGGTATGTGTACCACCGTCTTTCTCTCATTAGCCCCCTTATGTGGACGCACCCTCTTCTAAGAAGCAGTGAGTTCTGGTATCACAAGTTACCCTGGTCCTCGAAGTGTGTAAGAATGCATAAGTGCTGGAGGCGAAGGTCTATGACACCATGCACTGTGTTCTCAATATAGCCCTTGCTTCAAGGTGTTCCCAGGCAAGACAAAGCTAGCCTAATATATACATTGCGATACACTCACTGTGCTAAGTGTTGTGATAGTACCTGGTGGGAACCATGGAGTGAGCTGAACCCAGAAGAGCTGGAGGGACACGGGCAGGATTTCTAAACTGATGTTAGCCATAGGCATACTTCAGGGAGAGAATAGAAAGACTTGGGATATATACACATTTACACGCAATGTGTCTTTCTACTACATGATTTAAGTTCAGTGTAGAATTCAAATATTAATGGAACAAAATAAACTGAAAAGAAAGTCTTTGCTGCCTCTTAGTAGAAGTACCTACTATTAGCAATGTGTTATTTAGCCCCAAACGTTCTGAAACATTCAACAGAGTGCCACGTTTGTGCAGTAAAATGATCTCCATAGTCACTTCATTTACTCTGAAATCTTGCCAGTACACGGATCCTCCTTTCTTTTTCGTAAGGCTGAATGGTAGTGCATAGAAGAGCCACACCGTGACTGGAAAGACAATGTAGGGGCCTTGCCTTTGGACTGGAGTAGAGCCAGACATTCTACCTCTCCTGTGGCAGCGCTTGCCATTCTCAGCAGAGAACAGTGCCACACACCCAACAGGCAGACAAATACATGGGGCACACCTTGCTGGCATGACTCTGGCTGGAACATCAGGAGGTCATCTCTTCCTGGGTCGGCTTTCTCCTTGAAAGGACAAACCCTGTCAATCCCATGCTGAGTTTTGCCACTCACTATTACCTGTGAAAATTCATCAGAACTAGCTCTCTAGTAAACTCCTCTGAGCGCCATAGCATGCATGCCCACACATACAATAAGTGAACACAAGTTAATACATACTACGGCGCAGGGAGAGGTGAAGGATCTTAGAGGTGTGCCTGGTCACACATCCGCTACTGCTCCTGTGTTCTACATGTCTTCACGTGCTCCTGGGGATCCAAAGGTCTAGTGTTTGGGAAAAAGATGATGAGGATCCGGGAGTACATTAATAAAGTACATTAAAGTATGAGAAATAATGCCTGGCATGGTGACCCATGCCTGTAATTTGGACACTCTCAAAGCTGAGACTCTGTTACAAATCAGTCCCCCTCCCCCCAAAAACACAACAAAACATCCAACCAGACAACAAACAATTGCCCCATAGGTCTTAAAATCATCTATAAGGCTCTTTACCATTATTCCACCTAAAACACTTGGTACAATAAAATAAACACCTGGGGGGTGCACAGAAGGATGGCTCAGTGGTTAAGAACACTCACTGGCTGTTCTTCCAGAAGACCTGGTTTAATTCCCAGCACCTACATGGCAGCTCACAACCATCTCTAGTTCCAGGGGCTTGGATGTCCCCGTCAACCTCCTTGGGCACCAAGCATGCACATGGTACACAAAAGACACATTCAGGGAAAAACACACACACATAAAATATTAAAACACACACACACACACAAACCACTTTGGGGACATTTAGAGAAGCCTCTAAGTTTTCATCTAAAAGGAAAATGGTGGGCTGCAAGCTCATTGTTTTACTTAATCTGTGTCAAGTCTCACTATGAACAAATTAAAGAGGACAGCCACCCACCAGCCCTCTTTACAACAGACTGTTCTCTACATTCCGAAACCTTAAAAGAGCAAGGAATGCTCTTAGCCACTGAACCATCTCTCCAGCCTCTACACCCAGCCTTTCCGTGGGTGCTAGGGATCTGAACTCAGGTTCTCATGCTTGCTCCGCAGGCACTTTGCTTTCAAAACAAAATGCAGTCATGTGGCTAACCTTGAGTTCCTGGGCTTATGCCTCCTCAGTCTCTGCAGTGGCTGAACTACCCAGGATAACTAATATCACTGCCATGTGTCTAAGTATTAGCTGCAGCATAAGCCTGAGCAAGTCAGGGTTGGAGGACTGAACCGGGGCACAAGTCCAGAGCTCATATATAATACGGCGGCCATTACGGCCACAGGCAACTCTTCAGATTTAATTAAAGTAGCTGGGAGGTGGTGGTGCGTGTCTGGGAGGGAGAGGCAGGTGAATCTCTGTGAGTTCTAGGCCAGCCTGGTCTACAGAGCAAGTTCCAGAACAGCCAAGGCTACAAAGAGAAACCCTGTCTCAAAAAACAAACAAACAAAAAAAAACCCAACAAAAATTTAAATGAAGTTAAAAATTCAGGAGAGGCTGGATATGTAGTTCAGTTCGTGAAACACTTGCCTATTACATAGGAAACTCTGGGGTCAATCTCTAACACCACAGAGACCAAGTATCTCCTCCACCCCAATCCCAGGACCCAGAGAGTGGGGGCAGAAGGATCCCAAATCCAAGGTCATCCTCAGCTACACAGCAAGTTTGAGGCCAGCCTGGATTATCTGAGACCTTGTCTCAAAAATAATAAAGGTGGCTGGGCACAGTGATGCATGCTTATAATTCCTGCGCTTGGGAGGCAGAGACAGGAGGCCTGCTACAGTTTCAGTTACTGGGTTACAAAGTGAATTCTTGGTCTGCTAGGGCTGAAATATAAGACCCTGTTTCAAACCCTTCCCTTCCTTCTAAGTAAAAAAATCAAAACAACAACACACACCTTTAATTCCAGTATTCAGGAGGCAGAGGCAGGTGGACCTCAGTGAGTTCGAGATCAGCCTAGTCTACAGAGCAAGTTCCAGGACAGGCTTCAAAGCTAGAGAAACTGTCTTGAAAAAAAGAAAACAAACAAAAAACAACCAAAGAAACAAAAAGCCCATCCCCTCAGCCTCAGCCACCCCAGTCAAGTTTTACATGCTTCATAACCACACAGGGCACAACTGGCTCTGCCATCTACCTGGGGCACAGACAAAGGCATTTCCACCACTGCAGACAGGCTGTCCAATGGACAGTCCCGGTCTGGAGGGCCTCTGGAATGTGAATGACCACTGAGGAATTTGTTTCACTTGGGCCACAAGAGGGACTTTGACAGACAAAGAGCTGATAGTGGGGAGGCCGGCTAATGATTCTGAAAGCCCCCAAAAGGGCTTTCCAGTTTTGTAAAGAACTGCTCAGAAAAGAGACTCCAACGTAAAGAAGGTTGTTTTTGTTGTTTGTTTGTTTCTTGTGTTGGGCAGTGAATCTTGTATGTCAAGCAAGGACCCTGTCATTAAGCTACAATCCCTATGACCCTAAAATAATGAATTCCTGAGCCAGGCAGTGGTGGTGCACTCTTTAATTCCAGCATTCAGGAGGCAGAGGGAGAAGGATCTCTGTGAGTTCAAGGACAGCATGGTCTACAGAGTGAGTTCCAGGACAGCCAAGGCTGTTACAGAGAAACCCTGCCCCCCACCAAATAAATAAAAAATAAACAAAAGTCACATGGTAGTGATGCACACCTTTATTTTAATTCCAGCCCCCGGGAGGCAGAGGTAAGTGGATCTCTGAGTTTAATGTCAGCCTGGTCTACAGTTAAGTTTCAGGACAGGCTCCAAAGCAACACAGAGAAACCCTACATCAAAAAACAAAAGCAAACAAACAAAACAAAAGAGGGCAGGAGAGATGGCTCAGAGATTAGGGGTACTGGCTGCTCTTCCAGAGGTCCTGAGTTCAAGTCCCAGCAACCACACAGTGGCTCACAACCATCTGTAATGAGATCTGGTTCCCTCTTCTGGCCTGCAGGGACATATGTAGGCAGAACACCATTTACATAATAAATATTTAAACAAACAAGACTCCAGGCCAGTGAGATGACCCAGAGGGTTAAGATCCTTGCTGCTGAGTCTCAGTATGATCCCAGGGACCACAGGGTAGAAGAGAACAGACTTTAAAAAGTTGTCCTTTAACCTCCATTGTTACCTACAATAAACAAACAGATATAATTTTCTAAGCATGCAGATAAAGTACAGAAATGTCAAAGGGTATATCCTATAGAGGATACTATGATTGGAGGTTGTGAAAGTTAGATAAGACAAAGCAGGAGAGTCATTAAGGGACCAATAATCTTGACGCCATCAAATTAGAACCTATATATTTTTCTTTTTCTTTGCTGTAGAAGGGACAGACCCTGTGTGTGTGCTTCGTGTTCTTGAGCAACACCCCAGCCTTCTTTTTCGCTGGTGGCCAAACTGCTGCCACTATGGCCCTTTGTGAATTTGTGGCCTCAGCCTCCAAATGCTAAGACCCCGAATACAGGTCTCCACAAGCAGCTCCGCCAAAAAAGAAAATTCGCATTTATTTACTCATTCACTTTGTGCATGGACGTGCAGGTATGAGAGTGGCACAGCATACGTCAGAGGGAAATCTGCGGGAGTCACTTCTTCCCACCAGCTGGTCCTGGGGACCAAACTCAGATCGACAAGCTTGGCAGCCCTCATCTTTACCTGCCACTGAGCAGGCTTTGCTTGGTCCCTCTTTCAAACAGGGTCACGAAGTTGCCAGGCTAGCCTAGAAAAACATTCTTATATCCAGGCAGTCCTCAAATTTGTAATCTCTTGGTCATCTCTCCCTGGCTGAGATTACAGAGTTACAGGTGTGTACTACCACACCCAACTAAATTCTTTTCATTTTTGTTTTTCTGTGTAGCCCTGGCAGTCCTGGAACACCCCTTTAGACCATGCTGGCCTTGGGCTCAGAGATCTGCCTGACCCTGTCTCCTGAACTGAGTCGCTGGAATTAAAGGCATGCACTACCATATCTAGGTGTGATAATATTTTGTTGAGGTAATCGGGAAGCTGAGGCAATTAAATTAGTATCTTTAGAATCTCATACCTGGGAGGCAGAAGGAGGATTATGGATTTGAGGCCAGTCTCAGCTAGAGACTTTTTTTTTAATTATTTGTTTTTATTTGCATTAGTATTTTGCCTGGATTTATGTTTGTATGAGGGTGGTGTCAGATCTTAGAGTTACAGACAGTAACAGTTGTGAGCTGCCATGTGCTTTCTGAAGAGCAGTCAGTGCTCTTAACTGCTGAGCCACCTTTCCAGACCAAGACATTTTCACTTCTTTTCTTTCTTTTTTTTAAAGATTTATTTATTTATTTATTTATTTATTTATTTATTATGTATAGTGTTCTGCCCGCATGATTTACTGTAGGTCAGAAGAGGGCACTGAATCTAATTACAGATGGCTGTGAGCCACCATGTGGTTGCTGGGAATTGAACTCAGGACCTCTGGAAGAGAAGCCATCTCTTTATCCTGCTACAGAGACTTTTAATGATAGATAGAAAGAAACAAAAAGGTGGGTGTAGTGACCCCTTCCGAGTGCTGGGAATTTTTTTAGTCAAGGGGTGGTGGTGGTGGCAATGGTACACACCTTTATTCCCAGTTCTCGGAGGGCAGAGAGAGGTGGATCTCAGGTCGAGGCCAGCCTGTCTACACAGTAAGTTTGAGGACAGCCAGAGTTACACAGAGAAACCATGTTCCAAAAAACAAAACAAAACAAAGCAATTTTCTCAATATTTGTGTGGGTATGCACACATGGTACACATGTGGAAATCAGAGAACAACTTGTGGAAGCTGGCTCTCTTCGATGGTGGGGTCTGGGAATCAAACTCAGGCCTGCATGGCAAATACTTTTATCCAAAGAGTCATCTCGTTAGCCCAGTTTTTTTTTTTTTAAACATAAGTTAGTTTTAACTAAAAGGAAAAGTTTTCAAGTGTGATGCCAAATATGAAGAAACAAAAACAAACAAACCCCAACAGGCTGAAGAGATGACTCAGGGGTTAAGGGCACCTACTACTCTTACAGAGGACCCAGCACTAACACTAGGCAGCTGACAACTGCCTTCAACACATTCCAAGGAGATTCAAGCCCTCTGGCCTCCTTGGATGCTACATGAACTCATAAGCACATACCCATACAGACATATATACAACAATTTAAAAAAAGGGAGGGGCAAGAGAAACACCATAGCATTAAGTCATTTAGAGAAAAATCATCTTCCCAAAAATAGATTGACAAAGAGATGGTGAAACACTTCAAACTGACAAGCAGGGCTTCTGCAGAGGAAGAAAAACTCCTACTCTATTATATCGGTGTAAGTTTCACATGGAAACTGTACTGTGTTCCTTGTGCAATTAAAAATAAACCACCAGGGGCTGGAGACATGGCTCAGTGAACAGCATTTGTTGCTCTTGCAGAGAACCCAGGTTCAATTCTCAGCACCCACACGGTGGCTCAAAACCACATGTAACTCTGGCTCTGATCTGATGCTCTCTTCTGGCATCTGTGAACATCAGACATCCAAGTGACGTACAAACATACATGCAGGGGAAAATACTCATACACATTAAAAACAAACAAACAAAGAAACCAAACCAAAACATCCCAACAAAATACAAGGATTTTGGTGAAAGGTTTGTGCTGTTTTACTCTAGCTGGTCTCTAGACCTCCGAGGTGATCCTCCTGCCTCAGTCTTTCAATAGCTGGGACTACTGGGGTACACCAACATGAATGTACAAAGCTTGGTTAAATCCCCAGTGTAAGTTCCAAGTCCCGTCTCTGGCCTCCATCTTTGGAGGCCCCATCCCTGTGCCCACCAAGACTCCTCCCTGGAGGAGTGTCAAGACAGCCCGCCAAAATCTTAAATCCCCAGTCTATTTAAACTGCTTCCCTGGAAAGTTCCCGCATGGTCTCTTTACCCCCCAAACTGGATTATTTTTTATTTTGACTTGAGATTTGGCTTGATTGGAATTTTTGCGTTGGCAGAGAGCTCACATTAGGAAAATTCGTAACACCTAGCACCACAAATAAAATAAGTTTCTATATGATTTAAAAGTTACTTTGGAGACAAATGGTAATTTTGAATATGAATATATATTACAAATATCATTGTTTAGTCGTATTAGTTAGTTTTGTTTTTAGGGGCTCCTGCTGAAGTACCTGAGGGTGAAGCGTCAATAGACCTGCAATTTTAGAATGAGAACAAAGACAATGAGGGCAGGAAAGGAAGAGAAACAAGACAGTGAAGGGGAGGGCGTGGCCTGAGAACGGAGAGAGGGGACAGCACAGCCACAAGCAAATGTCCATCACTACTGTGAGGTTATGGGTGATTAATCAACATTTTTCCAAATTTTCTTGTAGGCTTGAAAAAAATTGAAAAGGCAAACAAAATACCACAACCTCTCACAGAGGTGGACCGACCCATCTTCCCCACATGTGCTACAAGCTACTCACGTCGCTAGCATTCACCTGAGAGCGTGAATTCGCTCCTGGGAGTGCCTTTTAGTTCTTTCTCAAAAGGTCCCAGAGCAGAGCAGCCAGTGGCAAGTATCAAGAGGAAGCCGTGGAAACTGCATGTGAGGCCCACATCTCCAGGACTGGGCAGTAGGCTGGTCCCAGTCACCCGGGAGTCAGGCCCTTCTCAGGGTGACACTGGACGAGCAGCAGAAAAGGAGTATTTCCAGTGTCCTCCCTTTTGCTCCTCACAGTGACCCTCAGGCTGACATCCTCTCCTGACAGCTGGGGAGACATGCTCTGAGGAATGCCTGCTCCACGCTCACATGCAGAGGAATGGACTCAACCCACATCTGTGAGTGGAAAGTCTTCCTCAAGTCATGATTCCGTTTCCTAACTGGAAGAAGAGATCACTTACCTAGTTCAGTCTTGGTCTAGATTACATTTCCCCACACTGGGAGATTACCACTGGCAGTTTGGGCTTATTGTTAGGGCCCGTGGGAACATTCTAGAAAACAAAGCATAAGAACATGAGATGCACTCAGGTCAGGCACCTGCTCAGTGCCTTGCTTACATCCCAAGAAAGGGCCCAAGAGCAGACTGATGTGGCGTGCGTCCTGACAGACAGTAAAGCCTAACAGATCCCCATCCCCTAAACAAGGGCCCAGGATCAGACTGATGTGGTGTGTGTCCTGACAGACCCAATAGAAAAGTAACACTCAGAGGCCTAGGCTCCACAACTTAACAATGTAGCAAGTCAGAAGAGCACTGACCCAGCTTATGGAGGAGTCACAGAAGAGGGTGATCTGAACTGAGCCTCTTCAGGTAGAGAGGATTGGAGTCAAAGCTTGGGGCTGGGAGGAGCAGGAGGCACGCACCTGTTATGGTCAGCCTCCTTAGAGAAGAGCCAGGAGTTTGATGCCACTGGACCAGAGAAGAGAAGGCAGTGGCAGAAGGGGTTATGGAGGGATAAGCAAGGTACAGGTCACGATTCAGGATCCTGAATGCAATGCCAAGAAGTAGAATTTTTATCAAGTGGGCATCAGGGTCAGAGGCCAAACCCTAGGATGTACTGGGCAAGATAATGAACAGAGCCAAGAAGGCTTGACCTCTCCTCTCTTTCCCAGGAAGGGGAAGGCCGTAACTGCAGACGCTGACAAGTCTATCTAGGAAACTGGAGCCCATTCACCCTTCTCTAGCTCCTCATTAACAGGCAGAAGGCACCTGATCAGAAAGGCTACAGCAACACCCAACCAGGACCAACCTCGATTTTTCTCATCACCAGAAGTCCATCAATAATTTTTCCTGCAGGAAGAACATTAAGTCAGGGTTTCTTTCTTGGTGCTGGGACTGCACCCAGTTCCCATTCTCAGTTGGCATCTCAAACCCTCTTACAACTGAGTTCAATGAGGCGAGCTGACTTGCCCAAAGTCATAAGGAATATATGCAGGAAACCAGGATACAGGATTGCGGTCCCCTGAACCACACTCATTAATGCTATCTCTGGGGCATTTCTTCATTATTTATTTCATGAGTATTGATTGGAATACCCTTGTCTTTTCCATGAGTTCTGGCCAACCCCCACGTCCATCAGCCCCAACCATTCCCACCACGTCCAACCCACCACATCCATCGGCCCCAGCCACCCCCACCACGTCCATCTGCCCCAGCCACCCCCACCATGTCCATCAGTCCTAGCCACCCCCACCATCAGCCCCAACCACCCCCACCATGTCCATCTGCCCCAGCCACCCCCACCATCAGCCCCAGCCTAGTCCAGCTAAGCAGCTGAGCACACTTAGTGTGGAAAATGTGGCAGACGAATGACTGGGGCAATGGGATGGGAGTAAGACTTACCAAACACCACGTGCTTCCCATCCAGCCAATCACACTTAGAACATGTGATAAAGAACTGGCAGCCGTTTGTACTGGGACCACTGTTTGCCTGGTAAGAACCAAACAAACCTGCAGTAAGTTTCTCTGGCTGTATTGGGTGAAGGACATGATTTCCTAGAATACACAGCTCTAAATGCAACACAACTGAGCACCCATTATGAGCTCAGGTCTAGATAAGGACATACAGACAAATAGGGCACAGAGGCTCCACCCCTGAGGATCTAAGTTCTTCAATCAATGAACAATTTTCTTGTCAGGTTCTGTAGGAGTCAAGCCTCTCTTTCCATCATGTGGGTCCTGGGGACTGAACTCAGGCTGTCCGACTTGGTGGTAAGCATCTTTACCTGTTGAGCCCCTAGTGTGAGGTTTTGTAATGGGAATGACTGCTCATTTAAAACAAGCAAACACAAGATTTAACTAAGTTTTAGGTTAGCATACAAAGTAATGCTTTAATTGTGGCAGATAAATATACATTTATTATACTCTGTTCTTATCGATTCTCTTCCCCTACATCCTCTCATCTCTCTAACTGGTTCCCTTACTTTTCTCTAATGGTTCCCCTTCTGCTTTCTTTTAAATAAAAAAAAAATTGTGTTTGCGTGTGTGCACACATGTGCATGCGTGTACACATGTGAGGTCAGAGAATAGCTTTGTGGAGTTAGTTCTCTACTTCCACCTCGACATGGGGCTAGGATTGAACTCAGGCATGTGCAGCAGGTGTCTTTATCCCTTGTCTTTACTTGCTGAGCTATCTTACTATATCCCCCTTTCCCTTCTTACAGGACTTGACTTAGTGTATTTAGCTGCAAATTAGTTACAACTGGATTATACTTACAAAATGGTTAGTAGCTAAGAAAAGACACACTATCTATGAAATCAGCTGTTCGAAGTGGTTTTGCAATGTATTAACATTTATTTACTTGTATTATGTATTCCCATTATGTACACCATATTCATGCAGGATCCCCAGGACCTATAGTTGCAGACAGTTGCCAGCTGCTTGATGTGGGTGCTGCGTATCAAATCTGGGTTAGACGTTATATGTAACAATGGCAGGGGCCATGTCTGTGTCCTTGTGCTTTGCCCTGAGGCCTGAATGGAATGGCTGTGGACAAATTTTCATCAGTTTTCACAAATTCTCATAAGCGCCTGAGAAGAGTGAAGAGCAGGCAGGCAGGACAGAGAATGTACACGTGGACACCGGCACCAGGAGGTGAGGACTGGAGCGCTGACGGCGGGACTGCGAGTAGGAGTGGGAGGTGAGGGAGAAAAGAGGGGAGCAAGGGAAGGGAGGAGTGAGGGTGAGCAACAAGAAGGGGGCAAGCAGTGAGCAGAGGTGAGTTAGATAAAGGCACAAGGGAGTCTGAGTGGGGATTAGGAATGGGGGAGAGATAGCAGGACATGGGACTAGGAAGGAAATGCATGGTGAGGGAGGGAAGCAGGTGCATGGCCAGCATGCAGCTACTGCAGTGAGTGCATCAGAGCAACCAGAGCAACAAGCAGGTGAGCACCAGTCTTGGAAGCTCACTGAACACTAAGGCTAAAGCCCATCCACACATCTTCGTATCAATAAAGGCAACAACACAAGTCAGAGCTCGGTTCTATTCTACAGCTGCTAGATCCCAGCCAACAACATCAAACTCAACTAAGGAAGGAGGACGATGTAGGTGCAGGTGAGGTCTGATTGAAGTAAGAGAAGCATCTGCTCTGATTCCAAGAGTCAGAGCTGGACCTCAACAAGGCACCAGAAATCTGCTATTCCTCCAACCCCAAATCTTAACTGAACCTCACTTACCATGGAAAGCAGGCCTGGAGCCGAGTGTCTAAGTTTAAAATTTTCATCTGCAAATGGACCGCGATAAATGCTAGCAACTCCAGTACCATCTCCCTAAGTAGAGCAGAGGTATGTTAGTGGTCTGGAGTGTTCAGCACCCTTGAAACCAGAGGAAGAACATTCACAGGGCTAGGGAGAATAATAGCTCAGTAGATAAAACTGGTTGCTATATAACCATGAGAACCTGAGTTCAAATTCTTAGCCACACATTAAGAAGAAAAAGGAAAAAAAAGGCAGGCATGGCTGTACATGCCTCCAGAATTAACATGTAGAGAAAGGTAGATACTGTGAGCTAGCCACTCAACTACCCTCACTGAACCAAGCAGCAAATGATCTACTGAGACCTTTCCTTAAGGCAATACGTGACTGACAGAGAACACCTAATGTCTTCTTCTGGGCTCTATACTTACAGGCTTGCATACCTGTGTGCATGTGAGTGCACACATACATGCACACATCCATAGACTTGCTCACCTGTGTACCTACTGGTGTACACGCACACACATCCACAGGCTTGCATACCTGCATGCCCATTAATGCACACCCACTGGATGGGCAAAAAGAAGAAATACTGTTGCACTTTAAGTCTAGCTTCTTTATCTTTTTAAGATTTATTATTAGCCAGGCAAGTGGCGGTGATGCAAACCTTTAATCCCAGCACTCAGGAGACAAAGGCAGGCAGATGTCTGTGAGTTTGAGGCCAGCCTGGTCTACAAAAACTAGTTCCAGGACAGGCTCCAAAGTCACAGAAATCCTGTCTAGACAAAATAAAAACAAAAAAAGATTTATTTTTATAAAATATTTTAAAATTTGAGATAATCGCATCATTTCCTCTTCCCTTTCCTCCTTTCAGGCCCTCCCATATTATTCTTTTTTCACATTCATAGAGCTGGAGTTGGTGGCTATAAGCTACCATGTAGGTGCTGGGAATCAAACCTGTGTCCTCTGGAAGAGCCACCGGGGCTCTTAATCTCTGAGCCATCTCTCTGGCTCCCAAATTTCTCAGTTTTAAAAAATGGTTTATTTGTATTATGTTTAATTATGTGTTTGTTGTGTGTGTGGTATGGGTATATGTATGTAAGTTTAGGTACCCACAGAGGCCAGAAGTGTCAGATACTCCGGAAATGGAACTGCAGACAATGATGAGACAGGGACTCACGTCCTTCGGAAGAACAGAAGGTGCTCTTAACTGCTGAGCTCCTTCTCGTCTCCCAGACTTCCCAGTTTTACAGAACCACAGTCGCATCACAGCACCAGCGACAGCAGGATGAGGCCTAACACTCGCCGTTGCTCCCTACATAGGGGGAGTCAGGTCTTACAAACTCCGAGGAATCTAAATTTCCGTTTACGTTTCTCAGACACGGAGTTGGCACCATACCCAACTACACAATGTTGACAGTGAAGAAATAGTATGCACAGAAGTGGGTGGCTAAGGGAAAAGCAGTGTAAGAAAGAAAAATCCTAGCTTATTGGGCACACCCCAAAGTTGAGATGGATGGGGACACAAATAGTGCGGACACAAGAAAGTCTGTCAGCAGTGAAGGATGGAGATACCTGGGACACCTCAGCAAGCAGAGCAAAGACCCTTCAAACCTCCTGCCTTTCCTAATCGGATACCTTGCCACTAACTGGGTTGTGACTAAAACCTCAGCTTTTGAAAGGAAAAAAGAAAGGAAGACCCACAAAAAGAAAACAGGAAACTAGAATTTTAGACAGTGACACCAGAAGTGGAAGGAAAAATAGGGGACATAAATAGCCAGCTCACTTTCTTTTGGGGGAAAAAAATTGTAGATAATTTCAAAGTTTTCTGTGAACAATGTATGAGGACCACCTCGGATCATCGTTAGGTATCCTAGCAAAGTCTAATTTCTGGTTACAAATGGCTCAGGTTTGGACAATGGAACTTTCAAGTTTGGTAGAGATACATGTTCTGAGGGCACAGACAGTGGTAGCCAGCAATTCTACAGTACATCTCCACATCCACACTCCCTCCACCTAGCTGCTATTCTTAGATCTCAAGCCTGGGGCCCGACAGGAAGAAGAGCCAAGCAAAGAAGCAGTACTCACATTAACAAAATCTCCACCCTGAATCATGAAATCCTTTATGACCCTGAAACAGAATTAAAAAAAAAAGTCTCGAGGGAAGGATTCAGTGGTTTAGTCACTGACATGGTTGATCAGTAGTTTTTCTGAAGTACAGCATTTACCATGGTGGCATGGAGAATGAGTTGTCCTCACCCCTGGAGTGAGCAAGCCGAGGGACTACTAACATAAAGTGTTTTTAACTTCAGGGGCATCTTTGGGTTGATCTGAGGTGTATGAGTCAGCACCTGAACAGTACAAAGGGGTTGAAACTTGCCAGGAAGAAATAACAACATATTTGCCAAAAGAAAAACATGTCAAGGGCTCAATGCAAATTTTGGGGAAAAGAACAATAGCAACTACATGTGCAATGGACCACTACACACAGGGTAATGTAAGCTATTATACCCAGGCGTAGTCCTTAGCCTTTCTCGGTCTCAGTTTCCGTCCATAAAGAATGTGGAAAACACATACTACTTCACAAGAATGCCAGGGAGGATTAATGACCATACCTCGAACGCCCCTGATGTGGGGGACATGAAAATTTTCAGGATTAAAGTGGTACGACTTCTATCAAACCCTAACAGTTACAGGTAAATACAGAGAGCCAGGCATTCATGAAAGCCAGGTTTCTACAGATGACTTCCTGATAACAGTAATTATTACAAAAGCCTCTACTAAAATTGTAACCTGGAGCCAGGGAGATGGTTCAGTGCATAAAGCCCTCGATAGGAAGCGTGAGGACCTGAGCTCAGAGGCCCAGACCCCACATAAAAGCTGGGTATGGAAGCAAAGGGAAGTGCACCCGTAACCAAATTGATACAGTGTCTTCCTTGCCATCATTTCTACAACACAATATTACACAGAGCTGGCGTGGGTGACTTAAGGTGCGAAGGGAGCTGTGCCCCGGCTATCCGGTGCTGAGTGCTGAACCCAGGGCCTCATGCATGCTGGGCCAATTCTCTGCCTAGCTACATCCTCAGCCCTGAACATGGACACTTTAAACAACAACCATGCATAGGTTTTGCACTCAGGTGTACAGGATTGCCTGTACAGATACCAAACGATGACTGCATTTCCCGTATGCCAGAAGTCTTACCTATGGAAGGTGCTTCCTTTGTATCCGATCGGAACACCATCTTTCCTGTAACCAAAAAGGAGGCCTGGAGTGATGAGGGGTCCATCCCGTTTAGGGCACACTGGAAGCTAAGCGGGCTCTCATAAAGATCTGGATAGAACTGAGCTAAATAACACACCAATAATGGAGACACCCTCTCAATATCATCTTCCATCCCTCAAAATTTGCTCACGGTTCCCCAATACCCTCACCAAACCCCCAAGACACCCTTCAGGAGTAGGGGGAAAGGTCAAACACATCCGAGACTGACCTGAACTCTCCAGTGCAGAATTGCCTAAAAGGAAAGAAAGAGTGTACGACTCAGTCATCAGGCCATCGCTGCTTGAAGCATCTCTGATCTCAGGAGAGGACAGTACCAACAGTGGGGCCACCAAGTCCACTAACTGGTCGGACAAATGGCAGGGCGTGCAGGCATGTAGACTAGTAACAGAAATTGACACGAGACCGCTCAAACCCGGTAGCTATCCAGCCAGGGTAATACCCAACACACAGAGCTCCCAAGGCAGTGAATGGATGGACAGGGGGCAGACATTGCAAAGGCCGGCTTCGGGCTCAGCTACTCTGGTTCAGTTGGAGCATCTCCTTACCTAAAGTTCTCCGCCGTCTTAGGCACCACGTCTGCAAACAGCTCGATCTTCATGCGACCAACTTCCTGCAAGGGACGGGAGACGCAAGGCTCAGTCCACGGCCGCAGCCCACGCAGCTCAGAAGCTCCCACCTCCGCCGCCCTGGCCCAGCCTGTCTCGAGAGGGCCGCCCCCTCACCCGTGTCCCGCCCGTCCGCGCAGGTCAGCTGGGCTGCCCGCACCTTACCTGGCCGCCAATGCTGACATCAAAGAAGACCACCGGATTGACCGGACTTGAATTTGCCACCGCCATGGCCCCGACCCGGAAGTAGAAGCCCAGTTTCCGGCGACCAGTCTGGCGGAATTTATTCAAAGCTCAGGCGCATGGGAAACCGACGGTGGTTGGGCTCCGCCCCCGGAAGTGCGGGGCGGGCTGCGGGGAGCTCGCAAAGCGTGCGACGTAGCGGGCCGGCAGGTCCATGCTGAGTGAAGGCGGGGATGGGGGGGGGGGAAGATGCAGAAACAAGGAAGCGCAGGCATCTTTGCCAAAGGCGACGGACTCCCCACTCGCCTGACTGCTAATGCAATAGAAATGAATCTCCTGCAGACAACATTTGCTGAACCATCACACATGGTGTTTCCCTCCCCCCCCCCGCCCCGCCACAGTTCCCTGAGGGACATCCACGAAAGGAGGACCCTCCGGGTCGCCCTCCATATTTTAAATTGGTCTGATATGTAGGCTGGCTCATTCCGGATGCTGGAAATGTAATTTCATTTCTGCCACAAGCTTCCAGCTCATTTCCCTCAGAGCTGCAGTTTTAAAACCAACCTTTGTGCTTGTAAATCGTGCGGGGCTTGGCATATTTAAAATAAATGCAGTTGTTTATGCGAAGCCCTAAAGGGCACCTAGTTGCCACCGCTGGTAGCTAAGGCCCGGAAGTAGAACCCCCTGCCCTGTCTCTCATACCACTCTTCTCAATTACCGAACAGGAATGTTAGCCACTTACTGGACACAAGAATGAAATGCCTACCCTTTCTGCCTCTGGAGGACATTAGATTGCTATGTTCTTCATGGCCTCGAGGTCTTTCTTGAAATGTTTTTTTTTCCACCTTATGTTTTTATTCTTAGACAGTCTTGCTGTGTTTCACTGGCTGGCTTCAAACGCACTATCTTGCTACCTCAGCCTCCCAAATGTTGGGATTACATCCATGGTTTGCCATATCCTTTTTGAGTTAGGGCTGAACAGATGGTTTAGAATGTCTGTAGGAGAAAAGGGGCAGTCAAAGAAACCCACCTGGGCTCCAGCGAAAGAAATACACCATGATTCTGAGACCCGAGCAAGTGAAAGAAATACTTTAGCCCCAAACCCTGAACCAAAGAAATACACTGTGACTCTGAAACCAGTGCCAAAGAAACACACTTTGACCCTAGAATCAGAGTTAGTGAAAGAAATATGTCCCGGCCTCAAAACTAGAGCCAAGAAACTTATAAAGGCCAGTGAAGAAAATACAGTTTGGCTCCCCCCACCTCCATGCCAAGAAGCCCTATCTATATAAGTTCACCTGTTCAGTTTGCGGCGGCTCCTCTTCCACCCTGGTAGAGGCAACCACTTTCCTGGATTCTTCCCTCCCAATAAATCCCTTGCAGGTTTGGGTGAAGACCTTCTTTTCCCAGAGCAGAGACCGGGCAGACAGAGCGAGCTGAGTAGAGTGGGGTTGTTAACACTGTGTGTGTGTGTGTGGGGGGCTTCCCCCTGGCAGCTGCCAGTTGTTACAACTTTGCAGTCAGAGACAGGAGCTAGCGGAACAGGGCTGTAACCCTTTTCCTGGGGAACCCTACCCCTAGCAAAGCAGAGTTGCTACACTCCTGAGCACTGGAGCCAAATTGTAACACTTCTGTCGGAGAAGCCCTCTCCTGCGGGAACAGAGTTGTTACATTGGGGAAACCTTTCCATAGAGCAGAGTTGTCAGCTGCTACCATTACTCCCTGACCCCGGATTGCTGGAACACTCTTCCACCCTAGCTGTAACCCTCAGTGTTCCCTGGCTCCCAATTGCCAGAACATTCTTCCACCCTAGCTGTAACCCTCAGTGTTCTCTGGCTCCCGACTGCCTGAGCACTCTTCCACCCGAGCTGTAACACTCAATATTTCTTGAATCCCGACTGCCAGGATCCCTATTCATCTGAGCCACAATGCTTACAAGGTCTGGAGCATCCCAGCACCCATGTGACAAACTGGGTATCCTGCACATACCTGTAATCTCAGCTCCAAGGAGGATAGAGACAAGATGTTCGATGGCTTACTGGCTTCCTATCTAGTTGAGAAAAATGTGAACACCAGGTTCAAAGAGTGTAATGATCTGTCTCTTTAAGTGACAAGCCACGCCCACTCCCTATCCCATTCTCTGAGGCAGGCTGATCTGCAGCTTCCAGCCTGAGCCCTCACTCTGCAAGGCGTGCCTATCCTGTCTCTTGCCCACAGCCATATGGTTCATAGCCCGGGACCAGCCACCTGCAGCATGGTCTCCTGTCGCCCTGCCCGGGACCAGCCACAGCTCAGGGACCTGCAGCCGTCCCTGCCTGGGACTGGCTCTTCTCAGGGCCCGCTGCCTGCCGCCAGCCTGCTACCACCTCTTGGGGATCTGCAGCGGTTCTGCTGCCTGCTGCCACCAGGGATCCTGCATTTTTAATTAGCCATTACAAGGAGAGCCTGTGCCTCAAAGTGAATAGGTGGCAAATAATAGAGGAAGACTCTTGATGTCCTCTTCTGGCCTCAGTGCTTGCATAGGTATACACACACACACACACACACACACACACACACACACTTACACAGAAATACTAATTCTAAAAACTGCAGAGATCGAGAAAGGTATTCAGTGTTGAATCCTCACCTCTACATGGAAATCCACACACACAAAACTATATTAAAATGAATGTATAATATGATAATGACTGTTTTAAAAAATACTTATTACAAGGAGCTATTGTCAATCGATAGCTGCTGGGAGAGCTATTTTTCTTTAATAGTGTCTTAGCAACTGCTAAGTCATCCATGCTTCATTGGAAGGCCACACAGCTAAGAGCATATGAGCAGCAAAAACTGGTCTTGATGAGCTTTAAAACAGAACATGGGGGGCTGGAGAGATGGCTCAGAGGGTAAGAGCATTGCCTGCTCTTCCAAAGGTCCTGAGTTCAATTCCCAGCAACCATATGGTGGCTCACAACCATCTGTAATGAGATCTGGTGCCCTCTTCTGGCCTGCAGGCATACATGGAAGGAATGCTGTACACATTAAAAAAAAAAAATTGGCCTGGTGGTGGTGGTGGCTCACGCCTTTAATCCCAGCACTTGGGAGGCAGAGGTAGGCAGATCTCTGTGAGTCCGAGGCCAGCCTGATCTACAAGAGCTAGTTCCAGGACAGGCTCCAAAGACAGAGAAACCCTGTCTCAAAAAAACAAAACAAAAAATAAAAAATAAAAAAAAATAAAAGAACATCGAGTTGGGTACATAGGGTAGGGGGTGGCTCTGGGAGAAGTTGGGGGAGGGGTTGATTATACTCAAAACACACTAGATGAAGTTCTCGAAGATCTAATGAAAACTTAAAATAAAAATTCATGTATTAGCAGGGTGTGGTAGAGCATGCTTGCAATCCCGGTATTTGGGAGGTGGAATGGAAGTAGGAAGATTAGGAGTTCAGGGTCATCTTTTGGCCCATCAAATTTGAGGCTCAGCTGGACCACATGAGATGATGTCTCAAAAATCTCCAAACAAAAACATATTTGAATAAGGACAATAAGCAATTAACTCCAAAATAAAATGTGTTTTGATAAGAATGGTTAAGTTACAAGTGTGTTTCTCTTACTGTCCACCCCACTGCCTCTTGTAAAGTAGTAAAATGTATGGTCTAAACAGTGAATTTATTTACTCACTAGCTGCTAGTCCCTTCCCTGCCATGACCAATGCAGAGAACATTTGTGTGTGTGTGTGTGTGTGTGTGTGTGTGTGTGTGTGTGTCTGTCTGTGTGCTTACTAGACATTAATCTTGTCTGGTGGAGGATTATTAAAGATTTATTTATTTATTTATTATGTATACAGTGCTCTGCCTCCATGTATCCCTGCAGGCCAGAAGAGGGCACCAAATTTCATTACAGATGGTTGTGAGCCACCATGTGATTGCTGGGAATTGAACTTACAACCTTTGGAAGAGCAGACAGAGCTCTTAACCACTAAGCCATCTCTCCAGCCCTAAAGTTATTTTTTTTAAATAAGCTTTTTTATTTATTATGTATACAGAGTTCTCTCTGCACTTATCCATGCAGGCCAGAAGAGGACCCCATGTCTCATTATTAATGGTTATGAGCCACCAGGTGGTTGCTGGGAATTGAACTCAGGACCTCTGGAAGTACAATCAGCACTCTTAACCTCTGAGCCATTACTCTAGCTCTATTAAAGGTATTTTTAAAAATTAGTTTCTTGCCGGGCGCGGTGGCGCACGCCTGTAGTCCCAGCTACTCGGGAGGCTGAGACAGGAGGATCGCTTGAGTCCAGGAGTTCTGGGCTGTAGTGCGCTATGCCGATCGGGTGTCCGCACTCGGCATCAATATGGTGACCTCCCGGGAGCGGGGGACCACCAGGTTGCCTAAGGAGGGGTGAACCGGCCCAGGTCGGAAACGGAGCAGGTCAAAACTCCCGTGCTGATCAGTAGTGGGATCGCGCCTGTGAATAGCCACTGCACTCCAGCCTGGGCAACATAGCGAGACCCCGTCTCTAAAAAAAAAAAAAAAAATTAGTTTCTTAGGACTGGAGAGACATTACAGTGGTTTTGAACACTTGTTCTTGCAGAGGGCTGGGGTTCAGTTCCCAGCGCCCACATGACAGTTCACAGCTGTCTGCAACTCCAGTCTTGGGAACCAATGCCCTTTCTGGCCTTTCATGCACGGAGTAGACAGACACATGCAGGCAAAGCATCAATACACACAAAATAAAACAAAAAGATCATTATTAATGGGTCTATCAGACAAACAACAACTCCATTTTTAGAAAGTTTTTAATGACTGTTTTGTCAGCAATTTTGAAGACTCCTTGCTGCTTTCCAGGGTGTTCTGTGAGGCCTCTCCAGGTCAGTTTCCGTCTTTACATCCATGCTCCGAGTCTCTAGGTTCAGTTAGCACTGCTTTAGACAACAGTGATGTCATAGTCCTAGCTTTTGGTCCCCTTGCATGTTGTATGTCTCTTTTAGAGAAGTCACATTTATATATCCACTTTCAGAATTCTGTGAACATGAAAGAGGTTCAGGGGACTTGGGAATTGCTGTTGTTCCTTCTGATTTATTTAGTTCAGTCTCCCGGAGATTTTCAGCTGACAATACCAAACCTGTTCCTGAGAAACTGAGAAAGGCCACGTGTGAGACATAAACATGCATAGAACTTCCTGGCAGATGTGCAGGGCTACGGGCCTATGGCATTGATAGGGTTTCAGCACTCCAGGGCTGTCAGGATCAATTAAAACAACAAAGCAAAGGCTTCGGAAGCCCATGCTCATGAATTACCCTCTGCCTGAGATCCGCATTCTGCATTCTGTAGGACTAGAAAGGGGGTGAGGAGATCAGGGGCTGGGTCAGATTCAAATGCTAAATGCAGGGGAAAAAAAACCCAAGCTGTGTTTTCTCAAGCCAGCCACTCAGAACCAGTGAGGAGCCAGGTGTGCAGATAATGGCTGTCTCGACGCACTGACTCACCTGGAGCTCGGCAAAGGTAGTATCTTTTTGAGTATTTCAAAAGCAGCATTGTCACTGATTATTGATTCCTAAAAGAAAAAAAAATATTGTAACTTTAAAATATTTATTATTTTTGTTTTTGTGTGAGTATGTGTATGTATGTGTGTGAGATCCCCTGGAGCTGGAGGTACCCCACCTGATGAGGGTGCAGGCAAGTAAACCCGGGTACTCTGCAAGAACAACAGTTACTTTTAAACACTGAACAATGCTCCAACCTTATTCAGTCTTAAACAATACAACATACTACAAGCAATATAAGAATGAAAGGGTAGAGAATGAATAGTTGCCCTCCCCCTACCAATGCCTTCCCATAGCTCTTGCCTCTCTCCCCTTCCTGTCCTCTTTTCTTTCTCCCTCTTTCCTCTCTCTTCTTCTCTCTTTCTTCTGTCCCTGTTCCACCATCTTGTGCCTCTCTCTCTCTCTCTCTCTCTCTCTACACACACACACACACACACACACACACACACACACACACACACATGTTGCGAGGAAGCAAAATCAAGAGCCAAGTGCATACTAGGCAAGTATTCTAACAACTGAACTACAGCTCCAGCCGGAACTTTCATTCTGAGGGGAGAGGCAGTGGAGATTGAACTAGGACCCTGAGTACCCAGACAAGCATTCTACATTTTCTCTTTCCTGATTTCTTCCTTTCCTCATAACATTTATTTGTTTGTCTGTCTGTCTGTGTGCAGAGATCAGAAAACATCTTGTGGGAGCTGGTTAAGTCCTTCCACCATGTGCATTCTAGGGATGGAACTCGGTCAGTGGTCAGGCTTGCCAGCAAGCATTTTCGCCCACTGAGTCGTCTTGCTGGCTTATTTCATTCTCATGTGAGTCATTGTTAGTGAACTGAAATGCTTGATTGTATGTGATCCTGTAACTTGACTGTCTTCTTTTCTTGTTCAACTGGAGTTTTAGAGGGGGTATGGGGCGGTTATGATTTTCTGTATGTGAGATCATATCACCAGCCAACAGTGACAATTTCACTTCTTCCTTTCCTATTTGGAAGCCTCTTTGTCAAGTGACCCCATCCAGGACTTCCAGAAGTGCACTGAACAGAAGTGGTTAGAGCAGAAGTGCCTCATCTTTATCCTAATCTTAGAATCAACTTTCAGCTTTTGCTCCTGAGATCCGTGTTAATTGTGTGTCTGTCATACATGGCCTTTATCATCTTTCTTTGAGCTTTATGACTTTATAAATAAAATGTTCCTTCCCAGAAAAAACGATAAAAGCTGGCCATGGTGGCTTATGCCTATAATCTCAGCACTCAAGAGACTGAGGCAGGAGGACCAATGTGAGTTTGAGGTTAACCTGGGCTGTAGAGTGTGTTCCAGTTCACCCAGGGCTATAGAGTAGGGCACTCTGTCACAGGCCTCCTCCAAACCAACAGAACCAATAATGACAATAATAATAATGACAAAAACAGAGATGAACACAGACTAAACTTTACAGGGTTTACTGGATTCCCTGAACTGGACCACAGTTTAACTTTTGTTATAGACCGAGAAATTCCCAGCAGTTCTGAGGGGAATGATATGCTTATATATTGTTGTTGTCGTGTTTTTTTTTTGTTTGTTTGTTTTTCAAGAACTAAAGAACTAAAACTAAAGCCATCTTAGAGGGATGCTGTGCCTTATGATTCAGAACTTTCTTTGTTTGTTTTGTTTTGTTTTTCAATACAGGGCTTCTTTATGTAGCTTTGGAGCCTCTCCTGAAACTTGCTCTGTAGACCAGGCTGGCCCTGAACTCAGACAGAACCTCCCGTCTCTGCCTCCCAAGTGCTGGGATTAAAGGTGTGTGCCACCACTGCCCGGCTGTGATTTAGGATGTTTTAAAGGGAGGAGAAACATGCCGTCCCATAGGGGCGTGCTTTAAATGTAGGACTTACGTCAAAAGCTTCAGGAAATCCCTGAAACTGACCAGATTCACTAGACCCCTCCATCTCCAAGCTGATACACTATAAAGACTGCGAAGAAACACAATCAGATCACCTGGGCTGCCTGGAAGGGACTCTCCATCCTGCTGAACTGCCTGCAGGTTGGGCAGTGTGCTCTAGGTTTCCAGCTTTGGTGAGCTGTCACCCATGCCGGGGTGGGCTTTGGTGAAGCGGCTGAAGTCACCCTAACAAACTCACTGGTGATACACATACTTTGGTGTGTTGTTGAGTCCCTGCTGGGGTTGTAACAGGGCCCAAGATATTAGTAGTCCCCCAGACCTTAGGTCATAAAACTCAGCACATAGACAGTACCACCTGCCAAGACAAAAACAAAGACCTAATCTATCAAAGTCCACAGTTGTGGGAAAGTCTCTAAATTTACTTTTTTTTTTTTTAACTTCTGTAGTCCCACTTCTGGCTAACTGTTCTTGTTAACTGAAGTATGTCAACCAGAACACCGTTTTGTGCTTAAACACTCACCCTGAGGAAGGCTCAGTGCTACAGTGGGATCCTGAACACCCAGTGTAGTCGCTGGCCAGCTAAAATTTTGTTTGTTTGCTTTCTTTTTCAAAATAGTGCTTCTCTGTGTATCCATGGCTGTCCTGGAACTTGTTCTGTGGACCAGGCTAGTCTCAAACTCAGAGATCCACCAGTCTCTGCCTCCCCAGTCCTGGGATTAAAAGTGTGCACCACTATTGCCCAGCTAATAAAGACTTTATATTGGCTTAAATCCATATCCGCGCAGTCTTCTCTGGTGAATAGTCCACAATTGAGTGAGCGGACATTTATATATGTCTCTCCAGGAATAGTGTCACACAACATTATGTGAAAGAAAAAAAACCCTTTAGAGAAAGTACTAATGGAATAGAAATTTTGTTGAGTTGAGGAGATCTAGGCTTGATCCTATCTCTGAGCTACACTATGACAGGCACCTTTACCTGAATTTGGGTTCCCATATCTCAAATGTGAAGACAATCGTTTCATTTTTCAGGGTTGATATGAAATTAAATAATTTAAACAGATTTAGCATGCAACCAGCACATTTAGCTTAGCAATGGACATATAGCACTCAACACATGTTGGGGTCTCATCCTCTTAGCCTCTGAGGAGGGAATATCAGTGATAGGTCCAGTTTCCAAGTCCTACACTTGGACTGTTGCAGTGTGAGAGAGTCATCACAGAGCATTGGGTTGGAAGATGTGAGCATAGCTGCAAGGGAGGCCTCAGATGTCAAGCATCATCTCTGAGTTCTATTTCTCTTCTGGATATAATGCAGGAATTGAATTGGCATTTTCTTTCCTTCCTTCTTTCTTTTATCGTCTTTCTTTCTTTCTTTTTTTTTTTTTCTGAGACAGAGTTTCTCTGTGAAGCTTTGGAGTCTGTCCTGATACTTGCTCTGTAGACCAGGCTGGCTTTGAGCTCACAGAGATCCACCTGCCTCTATCTCCCGAGTGCTGGGATTAAAGGCATGTATCACCACCGCCAGTGAATTGGTGTTTTCTTAAGATCATATGTTTAAGAGCAACTTTGAAGTTGTTTACTCCAATAGTATCAAGATATTCAAGTTGGTGTTTCTGACACATTCAGGCTGTTGAGCATGGTATAGTACAGTTCTGACCATATGACATTTATTATCTCTATTTGAAGATAAGATTGTGGACCTCAAAGGTGTGAGTTCTAGCATATACTCTATTAAGTATATTTTTATTTAGTTGTTTTGAGACAGGGTCTCACTATGTAGCCCTGGCCAGCAAGCCCTAGGATCATGGGCACAGTGCAGGCACATCCAGCTTGCACATGCTGGGGTGCTGGGCATCCAGTTTAAGTCCTCACATTCACATAGCAGACACTTTACAAACTGAGCTAGTACCCAGTCCTTCTGTTTTTATTTTTTGTTGCTTTTTGCTTTGTTTTGTTTTGATAGGGCTTCACTGTGTAGTCCTGGCTGTCCTAGAATTTACCAGGCTGTGTAGGGAGACCAGGCCGGCTTTAAACTCACACAGATCTGCCTGCCTCTGCCTCTGGATTGCCAGGATTGGAGGTGTGCACCACCATGTCTGATTTTTTTCTTTCTTTTGTTTGTTTGCTTTGTTTTAAGATAGGGCTTTGTGTATGCTAGGCTGTCACTCTACCAACCAACCAAGCTACATTCTCAGCCCAGCTCTGTTTTTAATTTTTTTTATTACATTTAGTGTCTGTCTGTGTGTATGTATACCATATACATGGTCAGCCTACCCTGTTTTTTAAAGAAATTTAATTATATTTTAATTATTTTTATTTATTAATTTGTGTGTATGTGGGGGCCAGAGGACTTGACTCTCTTCTTTGACTTCTGAGTACCAGGGATCACTTAGGTCTTTAGGCTAAGGGCCACCCTACCAATCAAGTTTTGTTGGTTTTTGTTGTTGTTGAATGTGTGTGTGTGCCGTTGCTGCTGTTGCTGCTGGTTTTTTTTTTCTTGGTTGAGAGAATCTTATGTACCCCAGACTGGCCTTGAAATCATTAAATAGCAGAAGCTAGTCTTGAACTCCTAACCCTCCTGCTTCAGGCTTCTCTGTGCTGGGATTACAGGTGTGAGCCACCATGCCCAGCCTCCATGTAGTCTTTTAACTCCAATTTGTAATCCTATCATATTTATTCATGTGTGTGTGTGTGTGTGTGTGTGTGTGTGTGTGTGCGTGTGTGTGTGTGTATGTGTGTGCGCCTTTCTGTTCTGGAGTCAAGACTTAAAGAAAGCACAGACTCTCTTTGTAGTCCAGGACTCGGCTGAGTTGCTGAAGCTAATGGTTGATGAAAGATGTAGAAAGTTGAGAAAGTTGAGAAAGATGTAGAAAGTTGAGAAAAAACTCACTCTAGCAAATAGAAAAACTATTGGCAACCAGGTCATGTCAGTTTTGCTTTGGATGATGATTAGAAAATGAACACTTCTGGCTGGAGAGATGGCTCAATGGTTAAGAGCACTCATTGCTCTTCCAAAGGTCCTGAGTTCAATTCCCAGCAACCACATGGTGGCTCACAACCATCTGTAATGAGATCTGGCGCCCTCTTCTGGCATGCAAGCATACATGCAGGCAGAATGTTGTATACATAACTAAATAAATAAATCTTAAAAAAAGAAAACAAACACCTCATGTAGCTTAGAAATAGCCACCTTTGTGAAAATAAACAAGATGCAGAATTTACAACAATTGTAGCAACTCCACAGTCACCAAATCTGTGGAGAAGCATCTGCAAGGGGATGCCTTGCAGGGGATGCACACATGGAAGGGGGGAAGCAGCCTCTACCCTGGATCCAGCATCAGTTCTGCTTACTGAACTCCCTCTGTCTTCATAGCCAGACGCTGGACCTCGACTGAGCCCATACTAGTCTCCTCAGTTCTCCTTGGCTATTCATCTGTTTGAATTTGAATATGTTTTTCTCTAACTCGGCTGTTTTCCTTAGTCTTGACTCATTAGCAGACAAAACGGGCTTCACTGGACCTTTCCGAGCCTCAGATTTGTTATTCTTTCTTTCTAAACAGGGTTAGCCTAATACACTGTCAACAGGGTTGTTCAGAAGGAGAAATATCTGGGAAAACAGCATCCATTCATTGTGAAAGCATTCTATTGTGTCTGTCTGCAGATACAGATAAGTATGATCTATATCTGTCCACAGATATAGTCATGTATGGGCTATGCCTGTCCTTGGATACGGTCATGTATGAGCTATGCCTGTCCTCGGATGTGGTCATGTATGAGCTATGCCTGTCCTCAGATATGGTCATGTATGAGCTACAGTTCTTGCCTTCTGGGACTTCACTCCTGAGTTACTGATCTAGAGAAGAGAAAAGGTAATGACAATGTAGCACGTTAAGAAAGATGCTCAGGGGCTGGAGAGATGGCTTAGCGGTTTAGAGCACTGACTGCTCTTCCAGAGGACCCGGGTTCAATTCCCAGCACCCACATGGCAGCTCGCAGCTGTCTATAATCCTAGTTCCAGGGGCCTGACAGTCATGGCAAAACCACAAATGCACATAAAATAAAAATAAATAAATTATAAAAATATGGAGAGAGAAAGAGAGAGAGAGAGAGAGAGAGAGAAAGATGCTCAGAGGCATACACAGATGTCTTTGGGAATCACACAGGGTAAAAGTGTTATCAAAATTGACCCAGTGATGAGCAGGGGTCACCAAGAATGGTCACAGGTTTGCTGCTCCATGTATCCCCGAGAAGCCTCTGTCACAGCTCACTGTGTGGCCTGGAACAGGCTATGGTTCTAGAGGAAGCCAAGAGGGGGCAGGGTGAACCAGCGAACCAAACCTTAGAGTCAGGACCCAGTACCAAGTGCACATCTTACTTCCACTCTGCGAATCTGGATGCTCCTTATAATGCGTTCTAAGAGACTGATTTGTTGCATGAGCCGGAGGCAGTTTTCCTGCAGTTGCTGGTTTTCTTTATCCAGTAAAAATGCCCTAAACATGGCATAAATCAGAGGCATAGCTAGAAATGTCTTCCTCGCTTCCTCTCTCCCTCCATCCTTCCCTCCCTCCCTCTCCCCCTCCTTTCCTTCTTTCTTCCCTCCCTCCTTCTGTCCCTCCCTCTTTGTCTGTGCAGGGATCGTACACAGGGCCTCATGCATGCTAAGCATGCGCTTTACCACTGTTATACAGACTCCCCCCACCCCGACACCTTCTTTAATGCCACAGTGCCTGCCACTTGCATGAACACCTGGAAGTCAGCAGAACAGACTCACAGATGCCCCCACAGTTCCAGAACCACCTGTGTGCTGCTGTACCTACTTGCTCTGGATCGCAGAGATTGTGGACTTATTGCTGCAGATCAGTTCTTCTTGATTTGTGACTTGCTCTAGCAGCTTCCTCTTTTCCAGGAGGAGGATGTCATTTTGGGTCATTATCTGGCCCTGGAACTCCTTCTCCTGGGGATGAGCACAGGAGAGAACAAACAACATATACATGAATATACATGAAAGACTCCAGTCTGTTCCCATGGCTTATTATTTTTAAATTTATGTATTATGTATAAAGTGTTCTGGGCACCAGCTCTCCACCATGTGGTTGCTGGGAATTGAACTCAGGACCTCCAGAAGAACTGTCAGTGCTCTTAACCTCTGAGCCATCTCCCTAGCCCGTGTTCCCATGTCTTAACAGTAACTCTTGCTTTCTCTCTTTCTGGCCCCAAATCTGTTGGCACCTGTCTGCTGCCAACATGCTTAGTTATACTAGATGCCCTCCTGTTGGTGGTGTTTACTTAGGGAATGTACGCATTCACAATTAGAAATACCATGGTGGGCTGGGTGATGGTGGCACACACCTTTAATCCCAGTACTTGGGAGGCAGAGGCAGGTGGATCTCTGAGAGCCCCAGACCAAGACAGCCTGATCTACTACAGAGGAGTTCCAGGACAGTCAGGGCTACACAGAGAAACCCTGTCTCGAAAAAGAAAACAACAACAACAACAAAGAAATACTTTGACACTCAATTTCTAGCAAGAAACAGTGTATTTCCTGTATTTTAATGCCAATTGGTGTCAAACCATCAGTAAGTGCAACTGCTTTCCATGTCCTGCATTCTTGCCCCTGGGTCCATTTCCATCGGCTTTGCAGATATTTTGTTGTTGTTGTTTTGAGATACTCTACGGTGAGAACCTCAGCCTCTTGAGTGCTGGGATTACGGCCTGTGTCACCATGCTTGACTTGCTGTGTTTGCTTTTAATTTGTTAATTTATTTTAAGCAATTATGTGTGTATGAGTGTGCACCACAACATGGATGCGGAGGACTAGGTATAAGCATCAGGAATCAGTTCTCTCCTCCTCCATGTGAGGCCTGGGGATTGGACTCAGGCTGTCAGGCTTGGCAGCAGGTGCTTTTACCAGCTGAGCCATCTAGCCGGCCCGCAGTTACGTTCATTTTTAGGCAGGGAGAGAAAGTTAAGAACTTAGCCTCCTTACTGTGCCTTACACAAATCAAATTATCACACACCTACTGACTTTATGTGACAAATTGACTTTATCACCATTCTAGGGGGCTAGAAGTGAATCACGATGTTGCCAGGGTTAGTTCTAGGGACCCAGAAGCTCTCCCTGTCAGTACTGGAGGTGGAGGTTGAAGCCAGGCTTGTGCCTATGAGGGAAGTGCTCTATGCTGGACTGTACCCTGAGCCCTCACAGGGAGCCTGTTCTAAGCCTCCTCCTGTCGCATGGTTGCCTGGCATCCTCTATGTTATCTGGTTTTATAGACATTCTCTTTCCCTTTCCACTTCTGTCCTCATGAGATGCTCCTTCCCATGGGATGTGTCCTTGTCTCTGCATCTGCCACTCCTCTTACAAACACACAGGCAATTGGACTTTGAATTCGCTCTCATCTAGGATGACCTCATTTTAATTGACTACACTTGCAAAGGCAGGCTTTCCAAATTGGCAGGTTGCATCTGGTACTCTATGTAAGAGACATGAATTTGGGGGATACTATCTTACCAAGTTTATGCACATATACACAGAAAAGACTATTTAAAAAAAAGGATGATGGGGAAGCTCAGCCAATCACATTTGGCTAGGGTGTGGCCACCTGGGGCCAAGGAACAAGGACTTGAAAATCCAGGTGCCAGCCCCTTGCTCTTTCTCTCTCTGCCTGCTGCCTGTGTGCTTGCTGGATCCCGGTCGTGTGAGTTTTCTCATTATTAAATATATTACTTGTTTTTGAGCTGGTCTGGTTAATTCTAACTGCCGGTCGACCACACCCATCAAAAAGATTTCTTTTTATTTTATGTATATGTGTGCTTTGCCTACATATACATGTGTGCAAACCACATGCATGACTGGTGCCCGATGGAGCCAGAAGAAGGTGTCAGATCCCCTAGAACTGGGTGATCATGAGCCACCATGAGTGTTCTGAGAACCAGATCTGGGGCCACTCTAAAAGCAGCAAGTGCTCTTAGCTCCGGAGCCATCACTCTAAGATGGATATTTCCGTTTGTAGGTGAGACAACGGCAGATTACTAGGGAGGAACCTCTTCAATATCCTATTTGGGTGAGCAACCCTAAAAGCCTTGCAGGTCCTTAGGGGATTCCTTACATTCAGGTTGGTGGGGTTAGCTGGGTTGGTAAAGTGCCCTGTCAGCATGAGACCCTGAGTTTGATCTCTAGAACCCACCTACAAATGTTGGGCACGGCTGTGAGGGCTTGGAATCCCAGCCATGGGTGGTAAAGAGATGGGGATCCCTGGGCTGCTGCTGGTTTTAGTCTTCTTTGTGAGTACCAGGCCCATGAGAGAAAGGAGGAACTCCATACATGCTCTGGGAGATGACCCCTGACCTTGTCTCCTGGCATCATCCACACACATTGACATATAAGCAAACATGCACACACACACACACACAAGGATGTGTGCACACACATACACATGCATTAAAAATAAAGAGAATTCATCACACTGAAAGATGGAAGCTGGGGCCGAGGGTAGTGAGAGCTGAGCATGCGCTCCTGAACGGCTAACCACCGGTGATGTCAGTGCGCTCTGTCTGGGATTCTTTTTTTTTTTTTCCTCACCATTTCAATCTTTTGTTGCAGTTTCCCAGTTCCTTCTTCGAGTTCTTTAATCCTCTTATTTCGCATTTCTAACTCATGAGTTAGACGGTCCTTGACCTTTTGAAGCTTGGCCTTGTGACAGTGGTGTTTGTCTTTGTAGTTTCTACAAAAGCAAAATTCAGGATGAACTTACCAGAATACAAGTAGGGCCTGCTTGGCCTCCTTTGAGACCTACGGACTTTTAGTGGGGATGCTTTCTTGCTTTACTTCTTCACGCCATGTGTGGATGAATCCAAAATAACCCCCTCTTTTCATACAGTCCCATGAACTCAAGCCTCTGGACCACCTTGGTTTGAACTGATGACAACTCTAGTGTCTGAATTTAATTCTGGAACCTCCTGGACACAGGAATTCTGAACCCTGCCCCAGTGATGAGAATTACTACGAATAGTTTTCTAGTTCCTGCCTATACTGTTTTATTTGCTTTGTTTTGAGACAGGGTCTCATTATATAGCCCTGGCTGGCCTGGAACTCTCCACATGAATAAGACTGGCCTTGAACTCACAGAGATTCACCTGGCTCTGCCTTCCTCCCAAGTGATGAACCTAGAGGCATGTGCTGACACACCCAGCCTACACTCTTTAAATTTTTAAAAATTATTATTATTTCCACAACATGGATGTGGAGGTCAGAGGACAACTTGTAGGAGTTGGTTCTCTCCTTTTACCATGTGAGTCTCAGGGACTGAACACAGATCTTGAGGTTTTGTGGCAAGTGCCTTTATCAGCTGAGACTTCTGACTGGTCCCTTGTTTCCTTTCTTTTTTAAATTTTTTTAAAAAATTATTTATTATTCATAGTGTTCTGCCTGCATGTATGCCTGCATGCCAGATCTCATGACACCAAACCTCAGGAGAGATGACTGTGAGCCTCCATGTGGTTGCTGGGAACTAAACTCTTAACCTCTGAGTCATCTTTCCAGTCCCCCTCACTTTCTTTTTGTCTTTACAGAATCCATGACTTTTGACTGAGCAAGGGTTGTCTTGAAAAAAACATCTAAATAAATCTAAATATCTAAATTAAAATCTATATTAATAGCTAGATTTGTCTAGCTTTCATTATGGCTACATAAATCCATGTCCATTTTGGCTAACAGAATGTAAAGAGGAAGGCAGCATGCCTAAAAGGAACCCAGCATGCACTGCTTTCTCTGCGTGCTTACTGACTGAGATGCGGCTGTTGTAGTTAAATGTCTTCAGCCATGTGAGTGGGTTCCACGTGGCCAGTCTGGTCTAGTTCCAGGACAGCCAGGGCTTGAAATATCAAAAACTAACTAGCCAACTAACCCCAACTACAACCACCACCACCACCACCACCACCACAACAACAACAACAACAACAAAATGCCCCTACAAGATGCTCGGGCAACAGCAAAATAATAGAAGCCTAGGCTTCTGATGCAGCGAAGCTCCATGCAAGCCTGGACTGCTTGTGTCTGCACTGTCGGCTAAGACGGAAACACCCTCCACATACTGCACGCCTCTTTTCAGTTCTTTGAGGCAGAGTCCTACTGTATAGCTTAGACTGGCCTGGAACTCACTATGTAGCCCAGACTGGCCTCAGACTCATAATTCCAGTGCTGGGGTTATGGACATCATATCACTACGTATCACTGGTATCACTACGTCCAGTTTTATATCTTCTGCTTTGTGTGTGTATGTGTGTGCATGTGTGTATGTGTGTTCATGTGTACATGCAGGTATGCATAAATGTGTGGTTAGGTACAGAGGCCTAAGGTCAATGTCTGGGTGTTGCCCTCCACCTTATCTGTAGATAGAGTCTCTCATTGTATCTGAAGCTCACCCGTTTGACTAGGCTGACTGGCCAGGAGCTCCAGGGATCTGCCTGTCCTCTCCCTCAGCACCCGGGTTACAGGCTTGTTACATGGTTTCTGTGGACCCAAACTCAGGCCCTCATGTAACGCTATTGATTGAGCTGCCCCTGGCCTCTGAGCCATTTCTATTCAGTGTCTCATACAGTACCCTAACTAAAGCACTCACGATAGACAACTTCATTCATAAATTTGCCACAGACCCATTTCAGTCCGAGGCCCTTGCACAGCACCTACTACATAGTGTGAGACACACACTTCTGTGATAGTTTTCAGTTCCCAAGAAGATGACTCCCTCCCATGCATAATCTCATTTCCTTTGGCACTGGGAATGCGTGGCGGGACTGTTCCTGGGTATCTGCATCCTGGGTATGCGTGCATCAGAGGTGGAGCACCTCACAGTACATCAACCCTCCTTCCCTCCTCCATATCTCCCAGGTGTTCACAGGGCCCCAGTGGATTTCTTGGTTTTGAGGCAGTGCCTCACATTGTGGACCACACTGGCTTTGAACTCCTGATCCGTCTGCCTCCACTTTCCGAGAGCTGAGATTATAGGTGTGTGCCAGTAAAATCATGGCAGTTTTCTTTTCTAAAGCACCGTGTCTCGGAATCTGGAGAGATGGCTCAGTGGTTAAGAGCACTAAGCTGCTCTTCCAGAAGACCTGGACCCACGTGGCAGCTTACAACTGTCTGTAACTCCAATTCCAGGGGATCTGACACCTTCAAACCAATGCACATAAAATGAATTTGAATGAATTATTAAAAAAATAAAAAAACTGTACTTTGGAGATCTGTGCTCTTCAACTCTGGATACATGTTACAAACATATGGTGGTGCTTTGGGAAAACACTGACTCCCTCCCCCCCCAGATCTTGATTAAATTCATGTATGTCAGTACCCAGGCACATGCAGCCAGGGTTGGATCCATTTTTTCTAAAGGTCATGCATAAATAACATGGAAAGTTATCCAACCTCACAGATGTAACTCCCCCCCCCCCCATACACAAAAATAGAGTGGAAAGCCCTGTCTAAGTATATATGTAAATAATGGAAGATGGTGGGTGACGAAAGTCAGACATGAAGAGAATATCGTGCAAAATGAGTCTGTTCAGAAATCTGGAAAATGCAGACATCACAACAGTGGCTTCCTAAGGATAAGAGAGAGCGGCAGACTGCACACACGCAGGAGACACTTCAGCAGTGGGGGACATGTTCCGCGTTGTGATTGCGGTGGGACTTACATGCATATACACACTTGTCACAATACATTGAACTGTATATTAGTATTTTGGACATGTGTTCTATATACACCAAAAGCAAGAAGTTGGAGGAAATTTTCATCAAGGTCCCCTCCTGCTTCGACCATGGTACTCGCCACAAAGAAGGATGTGGAGAAAGAGCAACTCCTCCAACACGATGGCAGTAGAGGAGAGATGCTTTTGAACGCTTGCCAGTGCATTAATGAGGCATGGTACTATTCAATCATTGGACCACTGTGTCATTCCAAACAGAATCAGGGCTGTGGCGGGATGATTGACAGATTCCAGCATGTCTAGAGCCAGCAAAGCTTTTCCGCTTGCAGTTTTGCTCTTTGCGCTGTTTGGCGCCAACTGCTGGCTAAAGCATGAAATACACTGAGTAAAATAGTGCAGTTTCATAACCACCAGCAGGGGGAGCTCTGTAGCAGGTTGGTACCAGCATGCTGACACGATTTGTCTCTAGCAGTGCGAGGATGAGACTTGTGCCTGGCCTCAGGAAGGACCCAGGAAGGCTCCATGGAGGACAGGTGATATGGTAGTGATGGCTAATGTGCTTGGCCAAGTATAAGCCAAAGTCTCAGCTGAGACTTTTGAGCTCCCTGGTTGTCAGGCGTCCAGTGCACATACTGTCCAGACCAAAGGAAAGGAAGTAAGAGAGAGACTGGAGAAATGGCTCAGGGGTTAGGCACGCCTGTTGCTCTTCCAGAGGATACCAGTTCGGTTCCCAGCACCCACCTGGCAGCTCACAAGCATGGGTAACTCCTATTCCAGGGGTTCTGACACCCTCTACTGGCCACCAAGGTCTCCCACACAGTGCACATAAATGCATGCAGACTCACACATGTACACAGAAATTAAAAACAAATAAGTAAATATTAAAGACTGTAGGGAAAACCCTTAAAGACAGTGAGAGGGTATATTTGAAGAAAGCAAGCTATAGAGAACTCAGGAAACAGTTAAGTCCCTCTTCTCAGGAAGGAATTGGGCCCAGGATCTTCCTTGGAACAGAGTGTAGATGGGACTGGGATAGCCCCATCAGTGTGACTGCTCTGGTTTGTTTGTTTATTTGTTTGCTTGTTTGTTTTGGCAGAACAGCCCCTGTGTCCTGTTTGCCCACAGGGAACCTGCTTTGTTTACCTCACTTGCTCACCAAGTTGCTCCAAAATTCGCCCGCGTTCTTGCCAGAGAGCATCCTTTTCTTGCTGTAACCTTGATAGCTTCTCTGACAGTTCCTGGTTGCTCTTGAGGTACTGAAAAAGACAAACAAAGGGGGCGGGTGGTGGAAAGGGAGCAGTCTGTGCCTGGGCATAGAAGTCCTCACATGAACCCTGATGAGCCTAGGGACCGCTGGAAATGGAGAGGAAAAGTACTCTTCCATGTGCTGGGAGCTGGCTCACCCCTACTGCAGGGAGACAGAAGCTCCTGGCTCAGGACCGGTCGGGACCTCACCCCAAGTGTCCCCTTGCCTGGTTGCTTATTTCTAACCTTTAAAATGCCCTCTGTAACAAACCAGGAAACAAAAGTGTAGCGAACCCCGTGTTGTGTGAGTGCCCTAGCAAAGGCTGAGTCTCAGGAGGAACCGAGGGCCCTGGTCCATTTCTGGTTGGTCAGAAATTCTGCCAGGCCAGGCTAGGGAAGCAGCTCCTCTGGCAGGATGCTTGCCTAGTGTGTACTAAGTCTTTATTTTATTTTTTTTAGTTTTTTTTTGTCTTTTTGAGACATAGTTTCTCTGTAGCTTTAGAGCCTATCCTGGAACTTACTCTGTAGACCAGGCTGGTCTCAAACTCAAAGAAATTCTCCTATCTCTGCCTCTCAAGAGTGCTGGAATTAAAGGTGTGCACCACAACCATCTGGCTGTGCACTAAGTCTTAAGTTAGATTCCCAGCCTAGCATAAAATTATATGAGGGGAATTTACTTAATAATCCTAGCAACTGGTCAAAGTCATTTTCAGCTACTTAAGAATTTGAGGCCTCCTGATGCCACATGAGACCCTGTCTCAAAAAAGGGGTGGTGGGGGAGACAAGTAATTCTGGAGGCACAGCCTTGCCCCTGGGTCTGAAGTCATGAGGACTGAACCTTAACCCACAGGTCTGATGAAACAGTCTTCAAAGTGATTGTGTCCAAACTGAATTGAATTAGAAGATATGCAACTAGCTGGGGAGTGGAGGTGCACGCCTTTAATCCCAGCACTCGGGAGGCAGAGGCAGGTGGATCTCTGAAATTGAGGCCAGCCTGGTCTATAGAGCAAGTTTCAGGACAGTCAGAGCTACACAGAGGAACCCTGTCTTGGAGAAAGAAAGAAAGAGAGAGAGAGAGAGAGAGAGAGAGAGAGAGAGAGAGAGAAAGAGAGAGAGAGAGAAAGAAAGAAAGAAAGAAAGAAAGAAAGAAAGAAAGAAAGAAAGAAAGAAAGAAAAAGGTAGCCAACTTCTGGTCACTCAGAGGCATCAGTGGCTTGCTGGTGGGCCAAAGTCACACATCTCTGAGGTCACTTGAGCCTCCACGTTCATGGATGTGCTGTGATAGTAGAGGAGGAAAGGAGGCAGTTTGCTTTTATTTTTTTTTTATAACATGCGTGCATAAAGAAAGTCTCCTGACCTTGACCCATAAGATATTTGCATCTAGAAGTGGCTGCGGTGATTAGAACCTCAAAGTGGGGATCTGACTGGTCAGATCCGAAGATTAAGATCAAGAACCCCTTACCTAGAATGATTGAGATAAGAGGCACTCAGGATTTGGGCGATATTTGCAATATGTGATGAGCTATGGTCTTGGGAATGAGACCCAAGGCCAAAGACAAAATTCATGGGTGTCTCATATACACCTTATTTACATAGCCTGGAAGTATCATGTTTTTGTGAGTGTGTGTGAGTGAGTCTGTGTGTATGTGAGAGTATGTATGTGTGAGTGTGTGTGTGTGAGTGATTGAAGGTGTGTGTGTGTGTGTGTGTGTGTGTGTGCAGTCCTAGTTTGATGACATGAGGCCAGGTGTGAAGCTGGCTCCACCAGGCATTTCCCACCATGATACTCTGTCACAGGCCAGGGACAGAGACCTCTGACACCAAGAGGAGAAATCAACCTTTTCTCCCATGGGTGCCTTCTCAAGTCTTCTGCCTCAGAGATGGAAACATATCCATCCACTCAACTAAGAATGCTATGATGGGACTAACAACTCAGTCCCAGGCCTGCAGGGTGAGCTAGACACAGCTGAGCAAGTCAACGAACGTCCGAGGAGCACACTTCAACTCAGGGGTCTAAATGCCGGAACAAGGTAGAGTCAGAGATGCCTCCTTTGTAGTCAGAAGGCCAATGTAACAAAAAATCAAACTTCATTAAGTGTTTGGCAGATTTACAGCACAGATTGATTTCATGGTCTTGCTTTCTCATGTGAAACACAGAGCTTGGGAGTGCTCAGACAACTGGGAAGAATGACATCTCCCAGGACCTCAAATGCAAGCTCATCTTGTACCAGTGTAAGAAGCCCCCACCTTGCGGGCTGCCGGGCTTAAAATCCTTGCTTTGGGGATCTGTGTGGACTGCGTTTTAGGAGGTGCCTTGGAAGAAGAAGCCTGTTGCTAAAGAGGCAGGTCTGTTGGTGGAGGGCTTGCCTAGCATGCACGGAGCCCTGGGTTTGAGCCCCAGCATGGCATAGACCAGGCATGGTGTCACACACATGTCATCCACGCACTGGGGAGGTGGAGGCAGGAAGGTTAGAAGTTCAAGATTATCTCAGTTACACAGTGAATACAAGATGTAGGCCATGACTACACAGAGAAACCTTGTCTCAAAAAAAGGTGCTATTATCCTTAAAAGCCATCTGAACGCTGCCACCATGTCTTTTCTTATCGTCTCTCCAGCCATAGCACAGTTAGTTCCTATCACACACTGGGGGAGAAGATGTGGAATATAGGCCTTGACTTAGAACAGCAGGGATATGGGCAGAATTTGGCATCTTAAAGTGCCAGAAACTTGAGGCGTATGTGGAGGAATAGACTTCTAGGAGACTAAAGTAGGAAGGAAGGGCTGCAGTACTGAACAGGCCAACGTTATTGATATGGATGTGCTTATCAGAGTCAGAATTTTATCTTTCTATCTATCTATCTATCTATCTATCTATCTATTATGTATACAATATTCTATCTGTGTGTATGCCTGCAGGCCAGAAGAGGGCACCAGACCTTACTACAGATGGTTGTGAGCCACCATGTGGTTGCTGGGAATTGAACTCAGGACCTTTGGAAGAGCAGACAATGCTCTTAACTGCTGAGCCATCTCTCCAGCCCCCAGAATTTTATTTTTTAATGATTTATATTAAGTGTATGTGTGCATGTGTGTATGTTTTGTGTGTGTATGCTCTGTGTATGTTCTGTGTGTATGTTGTGTGTGTATATGTTGTATGTGTGTGTATGTTTTGTGTGTATATGTTGCATGTGTGTGTATGTTTTTTTTTGTGTGTGTGTGTATTTATGCACGCAGGAACAGGTACCCACAGAACCCGGATGACAGCGCTGAAATCACTGGAGCCGGAGTTACATGTGGGGTGTGAGCTGCCTGCTGTGGGTACTGGGAGTTGAACTCTGGTTCTCTGTAAAAGCAACAAGGGTTCTTAACCACTGAGCCATCACTCCAGTTCCTGGATTTGAAACGTTAATTTGAACTTCTAAGAGTGTCTTTAAATATTAGACTGGTTGACTGACACTTGGACTCAGAAGCCACCTATATTAAATGGCACTAAGATGTTATACTTAGACACAAGAGGAAGGAAATAAAAATTGATATAGATGGGAGTTTTGGAATGGTTCACCATGGGTGATGAGTTCCACCATGGCGGTCCCAAAGCAGGGTGAGAGTTATCTCCAGTCACATGGCTCCCTGACTTTAAAGAGGTTCACTGTACTACAGAACTCCTGAGGACAAGAGGCAGCCTTTACATCCTAGATGAGGGTGGGTGTTGTTACTGCTCAGAGGCAACAGGGACCATCAAATGAATGGACTTATAGCAAGCCATCTGATTGTGGCTCTTTGGTCACCGTGATTGATAAACAATTTGAATATCTTTTGATAGTAGAGTAGTTTGAAATAGTGTATTTGCTTTGCATCCCAGGATGACCTCAAACTCACAATCCTCTTGTCACAGCATCTTGGTTGGTTCTACTACGTAGCCTTAACTGGCTTGGAACTTTCTATGTGTACCAGGCTGGCCTTGAACTCACAGAGACCCAACTGTCTCTGCCTCCAGAGTGCTCCCCTCTGTTTTTTATGGTCTTAACTGAACATTTTATATACTGTCATTTTCTTTTCTATCCTGAACTTATCAGCTTTCTTTCTAGTTTTCATAGTTGTTTCCTAACAATGACCATAGAATGTAATATGTTCTAGATATCTCTCTCTTTCCTCAGCCCTCCTCCTTCCTTCCTTTTCTGATGGTATTCACGTGGGGACATGGTGTGTGTGTGTGTGTGTGTGTGTGTGTGTGTGTGTGTGTGTACGTGTCTGATGGCAATCAGGTGTTATTTCTGAGGCATCATCTACTTTGTTTTTTTTCACGCAAGGCCTGTCATTGGCCTGGGGCTCACTGATTAGGCCAGTCCGCCTGGCCTACCTCTGCCTCCCAAGTGCTGGGATTAAACGCATGGGACACATGTGCAGACTTCAAGTTCACTCTCAAATAATACTGTACCGCTTCATAGGCAGTGCAAGCACAGTGCAATCACAGCAATTGTGATGCCTCTCTCTCTCATCCTTTGCTTCATTGCTGAAATCCATTTTCCTTACATATAAGCATTGTGCATAAACAACTTTAGTATAATTATATTATTGCTATCATTTTTTAAGATTACTTCAGATCCATTCATGTACATGCATGTCTGTTTGTGTGAATGTATGCGTATGCAGGAGGACAAAAAAGAGTGAGTGTCACGTCTGGAATTGGAGTTACAGGTGGCTGTGAGTCACCCTACATGTGTGCCGGGAACTCAACGAGGGCCTCAGGAAGAGCAGCAAGTGTCTCTGACCTCTGAGCCATCTCTCCAGTGCCCTCCCATTATTATTTTGAACAAACTATGCAAGATCAATCGAAATAAAAACTTTCATTATATCTTCACTTAGTCTTTCTCTGATGCTCTCCCTTCTTTTTGAAATATATTTAATTATTGTTTGTGTGTGCATGTGTGCGTGTGTGTGTGCACTTGTGCCTGTATGTATGTCTGTGAACCATGTGTGTGCCATGCCTGAGGAAGCCAGAAGAAGGCAATGGATCCCCTGGAACTGGAGTTTTATAAGGTTGTGAGCTTCCACGTGGGTGCTGGGAACTGAACCTGGGTCCTCTGCAAGAACAGTCCATGCTCTTAACCACCGACCCGTCTCTACATATTTATTTGTTTATTTAGATTTTTTTTTGAGATAGGGTTTCTCTGTAGCTTTGGAGCCTGTCCTGGAGCTCATTCTGTAGATCAGGCTGGCCTCAAACTCACAGAGATCCGCCTGTCTCTGCCTCCTGAGTGCTGAGATTAAAGGTGTGCGCCACCACCGCCCAGTCATATTTATTACATAAGTATTTATTTGTTGTGTGTGCATGTGTCTTGTGTGTGCATGTGTGGAGGTCAGACACAACTTTCAGAAGTCTGCAGCATGGCAGCAAGACCCTCTACCCAGCGAGCCATCTGGCCGGCTGGCTGCTTTGCTTTAGGTAGATTCTTGTCTTTTTGTGGTTTTTATTATTGCTTTGTTTTTCTCTTGTCTTTTTATTTGCTTATATTCATTTTTCAAACAAAAGGAATGGCCTATGGACCAAAGCAAATGCTGATACGGACTGAGGGGGTGGGCGTGGCCTAAAGCTCACAAAGGAGGTGCTGTGTCAGAATGGAAACAGCAGGTTAGAAGAATCAAATTGTGATGTCTTGTCTGCTTGAGGGCTCTGGAGATGCAAAGGAAACTTATTTTCTCTTCTTTAGAAAGGGTGTCCTGCCGAGTCATCAGCAGGAGAGACACTAAAGGGGCTTCTGGAGGAACTAGGTGGGCTGGGTAGCTGGGGAGCCGGCATCAACTCACAGTCCTCTCATCTCCCCCATTTTCTACCCTTTCCTCTTCTCTTTGTCTTTTTCTTGAAGACGTTATTTTGGTAAAACTGTAGTTCTTTGGTGCTTTTGAGTATCATCGAGTGCCCTGTGAGAAGCAGCCTTCTTTGCAGCAAATTCCTACTCCTCTGCAGACCAGCGTCTGCACAGCCCTTAACAGCTCACATCAATTACCCTAGAATGAAGGTGGTTCATGAACTGTGTGTGGCGTGTGTTTGTCAAGGAATGTAATCGTATTCTCCTTCACTGCCTTGCTAACACCAGAATTCCCACGATGCTCCTTGCACCAATCTGATGCACTGCCCAGCAACTCCTCCAGCTGCTCGATGATCAGCTTGGGACCTTCAGCCAAGATGTTAAGATCAGAGTTGGCAGTTATCAGTTATCAGCAGGCCATCTCAATAATCTAATCCTTCTCAGTGTCCAATCCTGTCTTCTCTGGGTCCACCCGGACCAACTGCTGAGCCATGCTCTCCCCTGCTGCCACGGCTGTGTCACCTGTCGCCTTCGTGGACCCCTCACACTCTGAACTGCCTATGCCTGCCACGGGTGCCCACAATAGCCTGGAGCCCAGGGACATGCCTAGTATCACTTGCCATGAGCCATTACTGCCCAGTCCCCTAAAGAACATCTCCCACCTTTGCTTTCAAAGCCGGTTTGTGGGCAACCAATTCCCCGGTTTCTGTTTGTCTGAGAAAGTATTTTATTCCTCTGTCTTCTTGCAGGATTTCCCCCTTTTCTTTGAAGTTTGGTTTAAACATTATGAACCTACACATAGTTTTTCTGTCACTCATCTTGACTGGCATTCTCGAACTTTCCAGATCTGTGGTACAGCATCTGAAATTAACTTCTGGATATTCTCAATCATTATTTCAAGTGTTTCTTCTTCTTCCTTGATTTTCTATCATTTCCATCACACGTTCTGCATTTGTCTCACGGTTTTTGGGTAGTCTGTTCTTTCCCCTTTGCTCACTGATTTCCGGGTTTCTGTTGAGATTCCCTCAGGATCCAGGATCCTTCCCTCAGCTGTGTGTAGTATGCTAAGCGGCCTATCACAGGCTGCCACCACTTTATCGCTGCAGTTTCTCTGTCGAGCGTTTCTTCTTTCATCTCAGACTTCCCATCTCTGTTTCTGCTGCCCCTCTCCTCTTATGCACCATGCATCTGCATTATTAGATTCCTCGGCATATTAATCAAGGCACCTTACATTTCTGATGATGTCAATATCCCTATCATATTTGGGCCTTCATTCTGCCGTGTTACTCAATTTCTTCAAGTTGTGTCTTGACATGTCTTGTGAATTCTGCTTTATAGCCAGACATGATGAAGTTGTCAGAGGCAGGTATTCAGTGTGCTGGTAAGGCAGTGAGGATGGATGGACCACATTCTCTGCTCCTATGAGTAGGTCAGAATCTTTCAGTTAGCGACACCTTTGAACCATGGCCCTTACACTTGCTTCTTTCTTTCCCTGCCTTCATTTCTTCTCTTTAAGTGGGGGCAGAGGAGGCCGAGATTGCATGTTTCTCTTGCCCTGGGTCAGTTAGGTTTTGGCAGAACTCCACCATGTTAGGTTCTAGTTAAACAATTTCCCTTACGAAGAAACTCTGGATGCCCCCTTCCCCAACACTTCTCCTGCCAGGAGACCAAGGAGAGATTCCTCAAATAATCAGTCAGAACCTGGAAGTGAAACCCACACACTGTAGAGTCCCCTGGAGTAGAACTCCCCTGGAGTTCTCATCTCTCGGAATATTCCTTGCACACTGAGCTTCCAACGTTCAATAGTTTTGGCGCAGGCTTTCCTGCCTGGTTCTCACCGGGCTTTCCCCTAGCATTGTGTCAGTCTCTCCAGCTTCAGGGGGCAGTGGCCTTGTGGTGGTTTGAAAGAAAATGCCCCCCAAAAGAAATAGCACTATTAGGAAGTGTAGCTGTGTTGGAGTGGGTGTGGCCTTGTTGGAGTAGGTGTGGTCTTATTAGAGGAAGTGTGTCACTGTGGAGGAGGGTTTTGAGGTCACATATATGCTCAAGCTACATCCAGTGAAACAGTCTACTTCCAGTTGCCTGTATAGCAACATGTAGCAGTAGCCTTTTCGGCACCATGTCTGCCTGCACGCTGCCATGTCCTGCCATAGTAATAGCAGGCTGAGCCTCTGAACTGTAAGCAAACCACCACAATGAAATGCTTTCTTTGTAACAGTTGCTGAGATCATGGTGTCTCTTCACAGCAATGGAACCCTAACTAAGGCAGGCTCTGTGACCCCACTTCTCTGATAGATCAAGATGTATTGTTAAAGCTTGAAACAAGATGTATTGTTTCAGCTTGCTCAGCTTTATTTGATATAGGATCACTTCCAAGTTTCTTTTGTACGGAATCCTCAGCCAGAAACTTCCACAAAATTCCACGAGGTTAGGAGTTAAGAGCGTGTGGGTTGGTGAACGCATGGAGGCACAGGGTGGACGCAGAGTGCATGTGTCCCACATTCCTGGGCATCTCTTCCTTCTGGATATTTCTGAATCGTGACCTTTTTAAATAAGTGGGGCAATCACGAAAACAAATGTTTCCTGAGGCATTCTGCTTTTATGTATATGTGTGTCCGTCTTGGCGTATGTACCCGCAGAGGCCAGAAGACAGTATCACATCTCCTGAAGCCAGAGTGGGAGCCCACAGCAGGTCCTTCTGATTCCCCATTCAGAAGCGTCGCAAGCATTTCTCCTTATGTACTAAATACCTTCTTGTCTGTGTTGGGGCTCAGGGCACATCACCCCAAAACATGTCCGCAGAATAGAATATGCTCTATGTGCTGGCTAGTTTTATGTCAACTTGACACAAACTGGAGTCATCTGAAAAGAGGGAACCTCAATTGAGAAAACGCCCACATAAGAGCCAGAAGTAGGGCATTTTCTTCCTTTTTCTTTTCAATTTTTTTGTTTGTTTTTGTTTTTCAAGACAGGGTTTCTCTGTGTAGTCCTGGCTGTCCTGGAATTCACTCTATAGACAAGGCTGGTCTTGAACTCACAGAGATCCACTTGCCTCTGCCTCCTGAGTGCTGGGATTAAAAGTGAGCACTACCACTGCCTATTGGATGTTTATCTGTATCTGAGACAACCCCTTCTTCACCCCATAATTTCTCCCCGTGCCCTTCCATAGTTGGTCTCCACTGTGCTCCAGAGGTTCCAAGGCCCTTTCTAGATAGCTCAGGATGTTGTACAAGCTTTGGATGACTGACCAGTTTCAAGTATCGTGTTTTGTGGGACACTCATGCATATACATGTAATTAAAGTGGTCTTACTCCTACTTGTTTGCCCTATGTTAATTGATCTTTAAAAAATGTATCTTTTTCATTTTTAGCTTATGTATATGGATCTTTTGCCTGCATGCATATCTATATACCACATGTGTGTCTGGTGCCTGAGGAGTTCTGAAGAGGATGTAGGATCCATCTGAACTAGAGTTATAGACAGTGGGAGCTTCCATGTAGGTACTTAGTATCAAGCCCATGTCCTCCAAAAGAGCAGCCAGCGCTCTTAACCATTGAACCATCTCCAACTCCTGCCAATTTAATTTATAGCCTAGCCAAACAGCCCAGAAGGCTATGGGGAGGTCATATCCCCCCCCACCCCTTCACTTGGATATAATACAATTAGGGTAGATTTGTTTTCCTACCTAAATTCATTAGATAAAGTGTACTCAATGGTAACTGGCTAAATAGCAGTGATGGACACGCATTCCAGTCTATGGGAACAGAAAAACGGGAAAGCATGTCCGCCACTTTCTTACCTCTTCACACTTTCTGCTCTCACTTTCCAGCTCTTTGCGCAGAGCCTCTTGCTGCTGGGAATTGGTTGCCTCCAGCTGGTTCTCCTTCTCCTGCAAGGTTCTCACTTGCTTCTGGAGCTCGTTTATGTCCTGGTCCAGGAGTACCCTGAGGGCAATCAGTGCACATCACATCACTCTGTACTGCCACACTCTGCAAATGAGTCCTAGACCCACGACTTTTGTGCCAGCAAGAGGGAGCTTGTGGATCCAGTAGTGAGGTACAGTCAGGTGTCTGCAAGGTAAGAGGACCCATGCAAGGAACTTCCTACCTAACAGAAGCTTTTTATTAATTCTCCCATTGACATTAAAACAAACCCATGAGGAAGAAATAATTTTCCTTATGGCAGAGATAAGAGAGACATGGCACCAAGAACATCTACGACAAGGCTGACGTGGGGCTCGACTCCTGAATCCATGTTCCTTTTCCCCGAGTGCTCTACAGGTTGACCCTGTAACTTCTGACCCCACACACTGCTGGTGCTGGTGCACACACAGCACCTGCTACAGCTGACTCCACACACTGCTGGTGCTGGTTCACACACAGCACCTGCTACAGCTGACTCCACACACTGCAGGTGCTGGTGCACACACGGCACCTGCTACAGCTGACTCCACACACTGCTGGTGCTGGTGTACACATGGCACTTGCTACAGCTGACTCCACACACTGCTGGTGCTGGTGCACACACGGCACCTACTACGGCTGACTCCACACACTGCTGGTGCTGGTGGTGCACACACGGTACCCTGCTACAGCTGCCTCATGGACTGCTGAGCCACACTGATGGAGAAATTCACCTGTCCTAACGAGTGCCATCAGTAACTGCTCTTTTAGAAAGACTTGCCAAACTACAGTTCCTGGAAAGATTTTCTGAGGTTTCAAACTGAGATTCTCCACATCCAGGAGAGTCGTCTCAAAGAATATGATGATGGCAATAATGAAATAGCACCAAAAATCTCACCTGTATGCCACTGTAAGCCAGGGCATTAAATCCTAACACTGGACAGACAGCTTTGCAGGTTATTGGATGGTAGACTGTCTGAGACACTGGCTCTTGGCTCTGCACCTCTTGCTCTTATGTTCCTTGGATGTAAGTGCAGGCACTCTAAGGATTATTGTAGCGTAATTCTACTAGCCACACCTAACCCTACACCTTCCTTACTGTCATTTTTGCTTTATCCAAATCACTGTATGTATATGTGAGCAATTTCTGCTGTTATCATCTCTTTCTTCTTTATGGTTCTGTTATCTAGCTAGCAACTTTGGAAGACACTGGGGTTGGACCCTTTCTTCATAATCAATAGTTTATAAATCCAAGAATGGGAACAGTTGGATGTTAAGTACCAGTCAGGGAAATGGACCTGTCCTGTGGGACAATGGAATACACTCAGACATTCATTCGTTCAAAAATTATTTACTCAGTAGTATTTTGCACTAGGTCCTAGAATAGAACTTCTAACTATAGCTGGGAATAGTATTCTGAGCTACAAAGTATGTGTGAACCTCTCTGTGTGTTTTCAGTGGATAATATATTTTCTCAAAATGTGTATGGCTCATTCTGAACTTCTACAAATGAGAAGCACCTGACATTGAGGTCCAGGGTATCCAAAAGAATGTTTTAAGTCAGATTCACAGCACTTATGTTAAAGGGGAAAAAAGTGGATGGCTCTTATCCTTGAGCAGTTTGTTGATGCCAAAGATTTCTATAATGATCTAGAACTATCTAGAAAGACATTAGCCACTGAATAAAAAAACATAACTTCAATGAAGTCTGAACTTGTGTAGGTCACATCAGAGAGCAAGGCAAGCAACATGTCAGATTTCACAGGCTAATCCAGTTAAAGCTGTTTACCCAGTGCTGCAGGTAAGCCCTCCGCCCTAGGAGTCCCACACCCTGGTGGTTCTTACCTCCTCTGCTGCTCCTCCTGACACTGCTGCTGCAGCCTAGCCTCACTGCTCCTTGCTTCCTTGATCTCATCCTCTAGTTGTTTCTTATGCAAAATACAAGCATCTGAAAGGCAGACTTGTCGAGCATGGTCTAATTTCTGCTGCAGGTCCAAAATCTTGGATGAAAAAGTGAAACATTATTGGGGATTTGATTCCTCTTCCACAACAAACTCAATACTAAATTGAACTATAGCAAGGACCTATTTATTTCAGATGGATAGGTATTCTTCAAACCTTTCAAAGACCTACAGAATATGGCATTTAAAATGTTTTTAAGAACTGAAGATTTTTCATGATAGTGAGACTCATCCACTCCTGGCAGCACCAATATACTTCAAGAGGATGATGGGCACCAAAGAGGCTACTTGTAGAGTTTGTTGGCTATTTGGGCAAGACACTGCTCCTGCCTAAACTGCTTGATGTTATGCTGTATGAGCTGGACATGTGGGACCCATGGAGAGATGACTGCTGAACTTGCCTAAAGGTGAGACAGTCCTGTGGTGTTCCTGTTTCATGAGTCTGCCAGACATTCTGCAGGACACAGAAGAAAGTGACTAACAAACGCCAATATAGGTGGAACTGTCTTTGAAATTTCCTGCTTCATGGAAAAGTCTGCCAGATACTATGGGCCAGTAGGCTAAAGATGCGTGCCCGTAATATTAAAGAAGAACGTTGGGTGACTGTCCAGGCAGCGAAATATCTCTTCAATTCTAGAGTTTTGGAAGTTGCTTACAATGCATTTCCTGTTAACTTAGGTAGTATTATATCCTACTGCAGAGCAGATAGTTATAATTATAGTTTTCCTTAGTTATGATAAAAGATAAAGTAGATATAAATATTGCAACTAAAATTCTTGCTTGATAATTGTTTTGCTATATGTAATTTTACTGTGTTAAAGTTAAAACCTACCTTTTTATTTAAACAGAAAAGGGGAAATGGTGTGGGAAGTCCTTTTGTCTATGTGTTGCTTTTATTGGTTAAAAAATAAAGCTGTTTTGGCCAGTGACTTAGCAGAATAGGACAAGGTGGGGATTCCAAGCAGACAGAGGAGGACAGAGTAGGTGAAGTCAAGGAGAAGCCATGTAACTGCTCACAGGAGACAGATGCCTCCACTGGAGCCCACCAAAACTTTGCTGGTAGGCCACAACCTAGTGGTAATGCACACATTAAGGGAGATGGGCTAGTTTAGGATATAACAGCTAGCTAGAAATATGCTTAAGCTACCGGTCAAGCAGTATTGCAAATAATATAGTTTCTGTGTGATTATTTTGAGTCAGGGGGGTTGGGAAATGAACTAGCAGCCTCTGTCAACAAGGCACCAGGCATGTACATGGTGCACATACATACATGCATACAATAAAATAAGTAAGCCTATTTTTTAAGAGATTACAAAATAAAAACCATATAAGCAGGCAATTCAAATGAGAGAAAAAAATCCTTAAATATTAAAAATATATAAATATCCTATGGCTTCAATCAGTTTTAAGTTCATGTTATAGTTTTAAGTAAATTTATATTTGTGTGTATATATATACATATATATATGCACATTTATGTGTGCTCACACATATGTGTACAGATGTGTAGAGACCAAGAGTTGATGAAGTCTCCTCCTCTGTCTCTCTCCATCTTATTTTTTGAGGCAGGGTCTCTTGCTGGCTTGGAGTTCACTTCTTTGGTTAGGCTGGTTGGCCAGCCAGGTCCAGGGAACCGTCCTGTTTCTGTTTCTACAAAGCTGGGATTACAGGCATGCACTGTGGGTTCTGGGGATCCAAACTCAGGTCCTCATGTTTGTGTGGCAAGCACTTTACAGACTGAGCTACCTCCCTAGTCCCAGAATTTATGTTTTTATCTTCATACATTTTTTTAAAAAATAAATACAAAACTTACTAGAATGGTAGAGGCAGATGGACTAAAATTATGAAAAAGAGGAAAGCACAGGGAGAGTAAAGAAAAAGATTAGCCTGTGTCAGGGTTTGCACACAGCTGTCTCTTGTCCTCAGGGAGCAGGGCTCTAGATGTGAACATGGCGTACTGCGTTGCTCAGTACATTCCTTCTTGAGTGTGAAGATACTTACCTTCTCCTGTGCATCGGCCACCTTCGACTGCTCTCGGGCCAGCTTTTCCTGCAGACTCTGCTGGGATTTAATGCTCTGAGCCTGCCTAAGCCCTTCCAGCTCCAGTTCCCTGACTTTCTGCTGACAGTGCTTCCACTCCGCTGTGAGCGAGGACTGCACCCTGGCACTGTCCAGCAACTTCTCCTGGGCCTGCTTGAGTTCAATTCTGATCTAGAGATGGGGCATAAGCACAAATCATAAAAACAGGGCTGGGGATGCAGCTAAACAGTAGAATGTATGCCTGGTATTTCTGAGGCACTGGGCTGGAGGTCCAGAGCATGCAAGCACGCACACGTGCACACGTGCACACGTGCACACACACACACAAAGATTAAAAATAAACATGGAGGCCGGCAAGATGGCTTAGTCAGTAAAGGTGCTTGGCACCAAGTCTGATGACCTGAATTAAATCCTCTGGATGCTACATGGTGGAAGGAGAGAACTGATTACCAAAAGTTGTTCTCTGACCGCTGTGTGTGTATGCCATGGGGCATGTGCACCACACTCACACACATACATTGCACACATGCACAACTATATTATTATGGATGATGATAATAAACTTCAAGGAGTTATCACTGTGCATATACACTAGATTAGCAGGTAAGTTTTGAAGTGTGACAGTGTCAGGAACTGACGAGGATGGAAGTGATGCTGATTCTTACCCAGCGCAGATAGAAACAGACCAGATAAGGAAATGAGTAACCTGTGCACTGCCCCTGTAGCTGAGCGATCTCACTTTGCTGTCCTCCCAGAGAGCCGCACTTATGTACATTAGCACACACACATACCTGGGCATACATGTCCATGTCCTTTAAAAAGTAGAAGGACCAACCAGCAACTCTAAGTGTCTATACTACACAGGAAAGAGTGCTTCAGCCGTGAGTTGGACACTACTGAAATAATGGGCTCTTACTAATTCCGGAAGACAAAAGAGATGCCATCTCCAAAGACATTAAGGGACATGTAAAAGTCAAGCCTCAAGGGGGAAGAAAATGTATGAAGAGATTACAACCTAAGAGCCAAACACTTCCTGTAATTGATGGGTCAAAGGTCAATAGGAAACAAATGATCATTAGCCTCATCTCTGTGATAACACAAAGAAGAAACTTGAGATTAAGCATTAATAAACTGTCCCTTTCCTAGTGAGCACTCACTTTTCTTCCCATCAAGCCAGTGTAATGTCTCAGTTCTCGTGTTCCCATTGGGTACCGACACACGGGCAGTTCTCCTCGTGTTCCCATTGGGTACTGACACACGGGCAATACTTTACTTTGGAAATATTACTGACAAAGTATTAACATTATTAACCAATCTGTTAATGCTTCATTTCTTCTCAGAAGGAACTATGTCCTATCAGGAAGCCTGGAGTTTTCATTTTCAAGTAAAACCTTGCTGCAAAAAAAACCTCAGCAAGTCCAACAGCTGGGCAGGACGCTGGACTCGGAACAAACAAATGGTGGTGTTTGGTTCTCGGCACTGGTTCAAGATCATGAAACTTAAGCTCTTAAGGTTACTGAGGAGATCACCTGCCTTTTCCTAGCAGATTGTCCAGAGATTCCACTGGCAGGGCAGGGAAGCTGAGGGCTGGGAGTCAGTGGAGGAACCCACAGGCAGGG